AGAAAAGCTCAGTGGTGGTGCCAAGGGGAGGAAGGGAAAGAGGAGAAGAAATTTCTACACATCATGCCCATGCATACAGCTGTGGGTGGTAGCGGTGGAATGAATACCTGCGATGCTTTCCTTTGCTGGATTCCAAGGTAGGCAGCCCTATTGTTTCTTGGTCTGGTTATATTTTGGGCTTAGACTTGCAGGAGTTAGTGTACTCTTTGGCTACTTTGCCTCTCTGATTCTTAGTTTACTATTCTGCAAAACAATGTCAATCTCTCCTTCATCATAGAATTTTCCATAGCATTCTAAAAACACTAAGATTTTTGGAAGATAAGGAAAAATGATCAGGCACTGTGGTAGGTGATCTCCAAAGATGGCTACTACTAATTCATTCCTTCTCTCCCTGTAGGCACATGCCACCTCTCCATCAAGAGGTGGAGTTTATTTCCCATCCCCTTAAATCTGGCTCTGTGTTTGCTTTGACCAACAGAATATGACAGAAATGATGTTCTGAGATTTCTGACCCTTGACTTCAGAGGACTGGCAGCTTCCATTTCCTTCCACTAAGAATGCTTCTTCTTGAAACCAATCACTATTCAGTGAGGAAGCCAAAGCAGGTACGTTGAGAGGCCCAGGTGGAGTTATACCATAATGGTGAATAAGACATTCTGAAAGTCCACAAATGGCAGAAGTGTTGTGAAGAAGGAAGGCAAACCTATATCAATAGCTATTGTCTACTCCAGTGAGGACAAAAGCATTGCCCCTACTCTGCCTCTTCCCTGATGGAAATAGTCCAATGTAATCAAACTGTCTGTTCTCCACTGAACTGTGCCCTTACCAAGATTCAGTGCTGATTTCTGCTAATGGCATTTGGACACGCAGCAGTGGGCTTAGAGGATACCCTATTTACCATTGTGATATTCTGTAGAGCATTGCTTCTGACCAGGAACTCTTTTTAAAGTAAATGGAATCTGGCAATGAGCTCATGGAACTCATTTATCTTACCTTATCTCCCTCCATCTTGAAGCCGTTGTCCTGATTGAACAGTAGGATGGCCTTTGAAGATTCAGTTACAGAGCTCTCCAGGTGATGGCACATTATAGGATTGGAGTAATGTTCTCTAGGATGTGGCAAATGCTCTGACTTAGCAACCAAGATTTGGTGCTGTTTTTTTCAGCTCAAAGAATTAAGACATGGAAAAACTTTCTCAAAATTACCCCTAAGATACACTAGTAATATATTTTTTTGTATTTTGTTTTATTCTTTGCTTCCTATCTCCACAATTTTGAACTCTGCATAGCAAGCTCAAGTTCTAAATTAAACTTAATTTGTGCCACTGGGGATTGCATCAGCTGGTTATACACACACACATGCACACACACACACACACACACACAGCTCAGGTGAGTCTTACTTTCTGTGTTCTTGTTTTTCATCATAATGTTTATTGTAGCAACAAATGCAAAGTACTTCTAGAGAATTTGTTCCTGGTGTTGGATATTATAGTCTGGCTCCAGGACAAGTTCTATAAGCTTCTCTCAGCATCACACACTTTCTGGGAATGTCCTCAGCCTCCATTCTCACCTTGGTCCATTGTTGCAACCTGAGACATTTCCCCTCATACTTTTGAGGCTGGTTAAGTCATTGTACTTCTCTGGGCACTGACTGCCTTAATTCAGAGGCAAGAATACTGACTTGAAAGATAAAAAATTTAGTGAACTTAAAAATCCTTTCCAGGATTAGCATTCAGTGGCTCTGATTTAACTTTTGTCCTTCTCACTGTGTCCAGTACAAAGCTAGTTGAGTGACACCTCTGCACTTTTTAGCTATGTAGCAGCCTCCAAGGAGACAGACCCTGACTCCAAGCACTGCCTGCAATGCCTCATTAGAAGCTGCCCTCCTCCATCTAGTAGCCTCCATCATACCTCTTGCCCTCCAAGCATTCAGATTTCTAAGTATAAAGCTCTTTGAAATCACCCATGGCCACAGTCAGAGGGTAGAGAGTTACCACCTACTCTAAATCTTCATTTGCTGAGCGGATATGAATTTCAATTCTTGGAGTCTGGAATGACAATATCCAGCTGATGAGAAGGTAAAAAAACACATTTATTTAGCATTATGTTTTTAGATTCTATGCTGGGCAGGGTAGTGATTAAACTGGGGCTTTGGAGGAGGTCACATGGGTTTAAATCCCCGTTCTATTAAGTTTTAGCTTTTGATTCTTGGGCAAGTTATCTAAACTCTCTGCTTAACTTATATACATAAAAAATGTAACCAGCAACATTGAAAGAAAAAAGAAACCAACAGTGGAGTAAGGGAAGGGGAGGGTAACAGGGAAAGGAAGGAGAAGGGTCAAATCAAGGAACATGTATAAAGTACCCATGGACAAAGTCAAAGTGGGGAAGGACTGAGGGAGGGAGGTGGGGGTAGGTGGGGCAGGGGAAAGTGGTGGCAGGAAAATGGAGACTAATGTATTTGAACAATTAAAAAAAAAAAAAAAGAGGACCATCGAAGAAAAGTAAATGCAAATAACAAGGACATCATTAAACAAATTATATATTAAAAATAAAAACAAACCCGTGGTACATTTACCCAACGGAATACTATGCAGCAGAAAGAAAGAAGGAGCTCCTACCTTTTGCAACAGCATGGATGGATCTGGAGAGCATTATGCTAGGTGAAATAAGCCATGCAGTAAAAGACAAATGCCATATGATCTCACCTATAAGTGGAACCTAATCAACAAAACAAATAAGCAAGCAAAATATAACCAGAGACATTGAAATAAAGAACAAACTGACAGTAACCAGAGGGGAGGGGGAAAGGGGATAACGTGGGAAAGAAGGGGAGGAGGTCATCAAGGAATATGTATAAAGGACACATGGACTAAGCCAAAGGGGGGTAGGACTGAGGGCAGGAAATGGGGATGGGTGGAGAGGTGGGGAGTGGTGGGAGGAAAATGGATACAACTGAACTTGGACAACAATAAAATATATGTACATATAAAGAAATAAATGAAGTAAAAATTTAAAAAAAAGAAAATATCTCAAATGAAAGGAAGCTAATTAAACACCAATAATCACCCCCCCCCCCCAAAAAAAAGGAGCTGTAGCTGCTATTACCTACCTATAGAGGTTATTGGGATAAAATAGATAAATTAATATGCACTGAGCACTTAGGACAATGCCTGATACTTAGTAAGTACTATATAGTGGTTGCTGTTACTATACAATTTTAAAAATGTATTTACATAAAACACCAACATATATTTTGCCAGAATGAATGAAACACATTAAATATATTAGAATAGCTACCTAGGAAGATATGAGGGAATTACAAAGAACAAAAACAATCTCTCCGTCAAAAACAAGAAAACAACAACCCAGGCAAGCAATCCCAGAGCTCCTGCTTTTAATAACTGCAAATACTGCTTCCTAATCATTCTATTGCTAAGATGAATAAACTGAGGCTAAAATAAAGGGTATCAAGGCATCAAGCATTCATACAGAGGCAGGGTGAGCACTTGGAAGATGGGCTCCAGAACCAGATGGGGGATTTAGACCCTTTTTTTCATCCCTAAACTTCAAGATGTATAGACTGTCCATAGTCACACTGTTTGAAAAGCCTGCTCAGATTCTCCCAGCCACACAAAGCTTCTGCAGAGAGGAAAGAGATGTGCTTTCCAACTGCAGAAAGCATTGTCTCTGATGCCTAGAATGCATGACCATAAGGTTAATCAGTAAATTTTATACAAATAAGTAGCAAGTGTGTAATTGTGAGAGATTTAAAAAAATGCATGCCTCCAAATAGAGGACTGGCTAGATAAATTATGCTCAACTATATAACAGAACATAGGCAGCATACAGGATGGAATAATATTAAGAACCTAGAAAAATATGATATATTGTTATTTAAACAATACACCACAATGCAGTATGTAAAATGTGTGTCTATATACACATACATGCATACACACATACAGAAAACAGCAGGCAAGGTCTGTATATCATAATATTAACAGTGATAATCTTGAGCATGGTTATTAGAATAGTCTTACTTTTGCCTTATTTTATCTATATTTTCTAATTTTTCTACAATAAACCTTAGTGACTTTTTAAAAGGAAAAAATAATTTATTAAAAAATAGCAGGAGAGGCACCCATAGTAAAGGCTGCTCTTCCCATGGATATTGTGTTCCCCTTCTGTTGTGAAGTTGAAAATCATGTTTTTTGCTCCTGCCGGGCTGATGCAATGCTCCCACCCTTGTACACAGGGCTTCTCTTGTAAAAGGCTGTCACAGCACAGATCCTGTTGTATTTTGGTTAGTGGGTATACACCCAGTTACAACCACCTGGCAGAGAGTCTGGCACATGGGTATGTTTGAAATGAATAAATTAAAGAATTGGGAGGGACTTAATAACTTGGATTTGGATATGAATCTGCCATTTATAAGCTAGGTGAGTCCCAGGCTCCTGATCCTACAGTGGCAATAAAAATTATGGATCAAGAGACCTCCAATAGTTTTTGTAAATGGCAAAGTGCTGGTCGCAAGATGGGTAGAGGTGGGGGGCGGAGAGAGAGAGAGAGAGAAAGAGAAAGAGAGAGAATTTATTATTATTGCTGCATCTATTAACAGGTTTAATCTTCTCATCCCTTATTTCTCTTCGGCTCCCTAATGCATCGTGGTTACCATAGCAGCCAGATGCTGATGATTCCTCCAGGGGCAGCAAAGTGAAGCTGAGCAAGCTCCCAAGTCCCCATCTCCGCAGGCCCTTCTCAGGCCAGAATGAGATGGTCTGAAGCTCAGCCTCCTTTCAGGACCCCCATTCTGTCTGGGGTCATTAGACATACAAACCCTGCCTCCACAGCCTCAGAGCTCTGAAACACGCTTTCGCTTTCGGAGACTTTCTTTTCCCCAAGCTCTATCTCTGAAGCCCTGCCTGGTTGCCGTGGAAACAGGTTCCTCTGCGGACAAAGGAGGGAGCTGGGTCCTGTTTCCTCCTGGTCCTGTAGATGAGGATTTTTAGACCGTGGAGACTGCGCTGCCCTGCCCTGCACCTGCCATCGCTCTCCGTGTTCTCGCTCAGGTGCAGCTTGCCTTCCTTCACCACTGACACTGACGAGACCATGTGTAAAAGCGTGACCACAGGTGAATGGAAGAAAGTCTTCTATGAGAAGATGGAGGCGGCAAAGCCTGCTGACAGCTGGGACCTCATAATAGATCCCAACCTCAAGCACAATGTGCTGGCCCCCGGCTGGAAGCAGTACCTGGAATTGCATGCCTCAGGCAGGTGAGTAGTCCAGTAAATAGGGGCCCTGCAGGCAGCTGCTGGGGCACCTTCCAAGAGGAGACAGAGACATGGAGAATCCAGGTGCTCAGAGGCAGTGTCACTCTTGAGTTCATGTAGACTGGAGGCAGAGAAAGAGTCCCTCATTGGGAGCTGAGACGCCTGAATTTGATTCCTGCTCTTCCAGGGAGCACCTGTGTAAACTTCCCTCTTGGCGCCCAACTTTCCCCTTCTAGAAAAGAGGTGGAATATATTAATTAGTTCTAAACTCTGCATTTTACATATTTTCAGATTTTAATCATCTTTTAACATGGCTAAGAGAAGAACTTGAAGTATATTGGGGTCAAGAATTCTTGTCCTGGGACAGTTTTCTTTTCATCTATTTGACTTATCTTGATTTAATATAAAATACTGAACATAAGCAGTGCTCTAGAAACTGGCTCTACTCTTAGCTCCAAGGTGCTTGAGCAATTCAGTTTCCTTCTGGGATCTCATTTTCCCATTTGCAAAAGAAGGGGTTAGCCTAGATCCTTGCTTTGTGCCTCATGGACCAGCAGCATTAAAACCACCTGGAACTTATTAAAGATGAAGAGCTTGCATCCCATTCTAGGCCTACTGAATCAAAATTTTCATTTTAATAAAGGCCCGTAGGTATGTACAATAGATTGTACAATAATATCTGAGATGATTCCCTCACTCTTGACCGGGGGTCTACTATGTAAAAACTTACCTTGGGGACATAAGATATAGAGTCTGAGTGGTGTTGCCTGAGGGTCAGAAGCAAGACCTTCCTTTCTGCCCTGGTTCAGTCTATTCAACTCAATTCAAGAAACATCTATTGGGCACCTGTGATGTGCTAGGTACTGACTCTGAGTCTTTCTGGCTACATGTATATGGATTGCTTTCTTATTCTCTCTGCCTTAGAGTAAAACAAAGGTCTTGACATTTTCTAATCCAAGCTTTGTAGTTCAGTCTGAGAGAGGGCAAACAATCCTCAAAGGATGTGAGTAAAAGCGGTGAGATGGGAATGAAAACTTGAAGCCTCTAAATTGGTTGATAGAGGTGTGTCGACAGCTGGACACTTGCTGGGGATACAAAAGGCCAGACACTTCCTGGTAGGGTCCAGGGGCTTCTACAAGACTTGGAAGGCTTGTGGGGCTAAGCGGGGGAGGGCTTGTAGCTCCTCCAGGCTAGCTGGTAACCTGTGATTCCCCAGATGGCTCCAGTGAACTCACTCTGGGCATCAATTGCCCGTGCTTCCAGGCCTTGGGATGCATTAACCGTCTCTGGCCATATGCTGAGAAATGATAACAGTATCATTTTCTGCTGCTTTGGATTTAGCCTATTCACAGCTGGTGTTGACAGGTAAGAATGTGTGGACAGATCATGAGATTCCTATATGATGCAGACCATCCCCTTTCATGTAGTGCATTAGCATGTTTTACAGTAAAGGAAAGATGCCCAGAGCCAAAGGCCCACTGGCAAGGCCTCAGTGCATTGGGATGGAGGAAGCTGAGGCTTCAGCAGAGCACAGAGGAGGTGGGCCTGGTGACTGGCAGAGGATTGTTGGATCACAGGTGCATCCTAAGGAGCTTGCTCTGGGCCTAGCAGCGCACACAAGAGGGCAGGATGGGCAGCCACCTGGGGAAAGCTAATGAACTCGGCGGACTATAGACACGCTGCCTAACCCGCTTCTTGCAGCTGTTGACACTGCTTCCACTCCTTCTTCTCCTCTTCTCCCTCATCCCCACAGGTTCCACTGTTCCTGGTGCTGGCACACCTGGCAGTCACCGCATGTGGTCATCCTCTTCCACATGTACCTGGACCGCACCCAGCGGGCGGGCTCAGTGCGCATGCGCGTCTTCAAGCAGCTGTGCTACGAGTGTGGCACAGCGCACCTGGACGAGTCCAGCATGCTGGAGGAGAACATCGAGACCCTGGTGGACAACCTCATCACCAGCCTGCGCGAGCAGTGCTACGGAGAGCCTGGTGGCCACTACCGCATCCACGTGGCCAGCCGCCAAGACAACCGACGGCACCGTGGCGAGTTCTGCGAGGCCTGTCAAGAGGGCATTGTGCACTGGAAGCCCAGCCAGAAGTTGCTGGAAGAGGAGGCAACCACCTACACCTTCAAGCCAGCACCCAGCCCCTCCAAGCCGCAAGCCGAGACGGGTTCTGGCTGCAACTTCTTCTCTGTCCCCTGGTGCTTGTTTTGGGCCACGGTCTTACTGCTGATCATCTACCTGCAGTTCTCCTTCCGCACCTCAGTCTAAGATTCCCTTGGTAGGCCCCAGGGGACTCTGGAGGCCCAAGGCCAGGGTGCCAGCCAGACAGTGGGAGGGGCAAAGAGACACGTGGGTTGTGAGTGGGGTTAAGTTCTAGCGCTGATGCTGTCCTTGACTCAGTGGGTTCCCTGGAGAGATCACCTAGATTTTCCATCTATGATGTCATGGGTTTGGGCTAGAGCACTGGTTTTTCAAAGTGAAACCCAGGGTCCCAAATTTCTGCATAGGTGCCTCAGGGACTTTTACATTTGAAAAGTAGACTGAGTGAGTGGGTTTTCCATCCTGGTGAAACCACCCTTCCCCAATTCCTACCTCCTCCTGTTGCTTTCATCAGAACAGCTCCATCTTAGATGGAGTTTCATTTAAAATTGTGTTTTAGAAAAAGGTCATTTTGCTTTAAAAAAAAGTTTGAAAATTAAAGGACTAGGTGATCTCTAAAGGCCTTTCCGCAGCGATGAGTGCGTTGTCCTTGTTCCCGTTAAGTCCCACCCCTGCCATTACCTCCCCCATTACCTCCATCTGGAGCCGCAGTCTTAGGTTAACCTCTGCTTAGTGTACAAGCCTCATCCACAGCTCTGCTTCCATGCACACAGCAGAAGTTCCTTTTAAAGAGAGAGAGGTGGGGTCACTAGGTTATCCTTTTGCTGCTGGGTCCACAGGGTCCCTTGCTTTTCTTTTCCAGGCCCCCCGCTTCCACTCTGGGTGAATTCTGGAGTCTGCCTGGCTTACAGATGTTGCTTGGGGCGGAATCCCATAGAGATAGGCTTCCCACCCACTGTAACTGAACTGGCAGAGAATTTAGGGGAGGATTAGAAGGTAGAGTATTAGAAGCAAAGTACAAAATCCCTAGGAAACAAATACAGTGACTTTTCATTATAACAAAGGCTTTTCAGAATTCAGGGGTCAAGTCTGACTGATTCTCAGGAGTTCTGATGGCTGAAACACAGGAGCAGGAGCCTGGTTTCCTGGGTTCTTTGCTGAAATCCTAGATGAGAGGTCTTCTCACATTGACCATGCATGGGCCCTCTCACCAAAATCAGCTGTCTACCTAGAACCACAGGGATGGGGGTCATCAGCAAGAGAGGAAGTATTAAAGATGTGCTCACACACATGTGCATAGGTAAGTGGGAGGATCTTACATCTCTTTAAAATGGGACGCAGTATGGTTTAGAGTGGTAGGAGAGAAGACTTTCTGATAATGGGGGTACAGAGCGGGGTGTGGTGGGAGGCAGAAAGTAGGAGGTGGGATGCCACCCTGTACTTCTGAGGTTCCTTAATAACTTGACTCCTTTTCCCCTTGTCCCCTGCTGCTCCCCTTTATAATGAAAAGTCACTACCACCTATAGTGGTAGCGGGAAGAGGGCCACTTATATAAAGATGGGGTATTTCAATAAAGATGGGATATCTTCAATCGGGCTTAGTAGTCATTAATCTGTGCTTCAAAGTCACCATACTGTCCCTAATCTGTAATGGGCTGTTGGACACTTCCCATCCCCTCCCTTTCCTTTTAGGGTCCCCACATAAGGCTTTACCTTCCTCCAGCTTCAAAGCTTGGCCCAATAGTGTCCACAGTCAAGAGTGATGCCAGCAGCCCTTGGTGAGGGACCCACTATATGGTCAGTCTTATTCCTGCCTTTGCTCTAATTCTAGTAACCGGCTGATGACTTCCTTTGCTTCAGTCACACAGCATTTATCGCTTTGTTCAGGCCACATATCCTGAGCACCTTCTATCTGGCAAGCTCTGACTTGGGTGTTGGGATCCAGTGGGCACTTAGGGGCAAGTCCTGTCTTTAGAGATCTCTGCTTACTACAGAAGTTCTCAGCTCTGGCTGCACTGGAGAAATCCTGGGGAGCTTGTAAAGAAATATCAGTGCCCAGGCTCTACCTCAGATGAATAGAATTAGAGTTTCTGAGACTGGGTCCTTAGCATTTGAATTAGAACAAGACTCCCAAGTAATCCACCTGTGCTGCCTGGCATCATGCCTTCTAACTGAGGAACAGGCTTCCATTGGCACCTGGTCTTGTAGTAATGAGCCCTGAGATTTTCCTCGATGACCTGCCTTGGATTCTGTAGGACTAGGGTTCAGCTTCCACACTCATTGCCACTCCTTACCCTGGGGACTTAACCCTTCCTCAAACTTTCCTGCTCCTGTCTGCTATGTTGGCTTTATTTTGCTCTGGGAATCTCCAATATTGGCTCTACCATGCTTGCCAGATGCTTATCAAACTTTGCTATAATTACTTGTCTGTGGCTATACTCCCTGCTGTGATGTGACCCCAACGTGAAAGAGACTTACCTCAGGGTCCCACTGCCAGATAGTATCAGAACAAGGAGACCAACCCTCATCCAGTTTTACTTTTAGCCTAGAACTTTTTCCTAATGCATTAATGCTCTTCCTATTCTGCCAGGAAGATGCCTACAGTCTGGAGGCCTACTCTATCTTCCTTATTGTCCTATATACTTGCTACAGATGGGAGGTTCTAGGCTTGTTCACCAGCTTGGCCCTGTCTTGGCAAAGACTTCTCTGAGACAGTTCTTTCTTTGCACACATTGCCACATGCCACCTAATGAACTTGTTAGATATATCCTAGGTGTTATAAACAGACTCCTCAGGGACATTCCGGGATCCCAAGCCTCTCCCATTGGAGCTCCTGTGCACTAGTCTTGATGTTCAAGCTGGGAGGAGACCTACGGCACTGAATTGTGATTCTGGAGGCTGAAATCCTCAGTGTGGGGTCAGCAAGGAGTGCTACCTTGATCACTTTCCTCAAACTCATTGAGACCAGGGACCAAACAATAGGAGAATTCTTCCTAGGGGTCAGGAGTATTGAGAACCAAGAAGATCACTAATAATGGTCAGTTCCCAACAGATTAAGTCCATGACCATCAGCTCTGTAAAACAGATTAGAGATAGCTCAATCTCAGACCCTTATGTCACAGAGAAAGTAAGGAACTTGACATAATGGTACAGTATGAATTAAGGGAAGACCATGAAATTTGGGGCTAAGAAATACTTGATTCTTGGCTCTGATACTTACTAGCTGTATGGCTTAGGCAAGTTACTTAAGCTCCTCAAGCCCCATTTTTCTCCTCATCAAAATAGGAATATACAATGTGGAGGGCTATGGGAAGAAATAAATAATACATTATCCATAACTGATCAAGAGCACATGCTCCTCCTCCTCTTTCTTCCCCTTTCCCTTTCAGTTAAAACCCCTCCCCACTTTGGGTCCTGAAGGACTCTTTCTCTTTATGATTTCAGCTCTGTAGGTAAATGCTTTAGGAAAAACATGCAAGGCAAGGGTTAATTTTCCTGAACAAGGCCAAGACCTTGTCTATTTTAATATATGTACAGTCCTTTCTTTTCTGTTCCTCAAATGTATTTCAAAGCAATGACTTTATTTTTTTATTAGCATTGTAGCCCCTCTTTATTCTTCAAAGATAGATATTTAAAAAAATCTCCTCAAACAGAAAACACCAGTGATTTTTGGGCTCCACTCCATTGGCTGAAATACCCCAGAAGGAATTTAATTATTTTCCAAGTCTCATTCTGGTTCTCAGCAGGGCTCCCAGCTAAGGAATTTCCTTTGGAGTCACATTCGGCATTGTGTGGGTACTGCCACATGTACCAGGAAAATGAAATATGCCTGTTGTATGGCTCTTTGGTGACAGGCCGTCCTTGTAAGGGAGGGTGAGGTTTGTATAGGAGCCTGGAAACCTGGGTTTTAGCCTTAGTCTAGCCATTGTATGTATATATCTAGACTGCTGACTTTGGGTGACTTATTCTTTTCCCTCCCTTGGCTCTCAGTTTTCTCATTTGTAAAGCAAAGAGGGAAGGTGATCTGAAGGATCCCTGCTAGCTCTGACCTCAGCACAGACTGCTCCTTAGCCTTATTTGTCCTTGAGTATTTGGGGTTGTGCCCTGCCCCTGACCCCTCCAGCAGGTCATCTAATTGTAACCCCAGCATTTTGGTCTGCCTAGGTCAGATTGGAATTTGACCCTTTTAACTGAGCGGCCATACATCTTTCTTTCTTTTCTTTCTGGAAGCAAACTTTTTATAAATCTTACTCTGATTAGACTTCTCTAAAAGTATTCATATTTTGAAAGGCTGTCACCTTGAGAGGTGCTGCCTTACACAAGGACTTGGGTGGTAGTCACAGAATTTCAATCTGTATTTTGTCTCCTCATTTTGAAAATAAGCCTAATATTTTCACTTCTGTCTTAATAGGGTCATAGTAACATTTTTGAGGACATAATATATTACCCATTTTCAAGTTTCTTTTATTTGATAAGTGTTTATTGAGTACCTATTATGTGTCAGACATTGTTCCAGTCACTGGGGATATAGTGAAGAGCCAAGTGGCTAAATCACTGATCTTATGGATTGTAGAGGAACTAGACCATAAACAATATAAGTAAAATGTATAATAGGTAGTGTTAAGTAATAAGGAGAAGAATACAGTTGGCAGAGAGGCTAGGAAGGGCAAGTTATAGAATTATAATTTTAGATTGTGTAAGTAGAGAAAATCTTGCTAAGTGACATTTGAAAAAAGATGAAAGAACTGAGTAAAGGCAATGATATGTGCAAAGGCCCTGAGATAGGAGCAGATGGAATGTTCAACTGCGTAGAGGCCAGTGTGGTGGGAGTTCAGTTCAGGCTTAATAGTCATTACTATGTGGGAACATGGGTCAGAGCACATAAGCTACACATTATTGTCAGTTTATCGGCTTTTAATTTGAAAGAGACAAGAAGTCACGGGTGGGTTTGAACCGTGGAGTAAAGAAAGAGGTGTATTCCAGGGTGGTGGCCTGTCCCAGGGTGGTAGCAACTGGGATTGAGTCTGGATCTATTTTAAAAATAAGCTGAGAAGATGTGCTGATGACTCAGGCAGAGGGTCTGAGAGAAAGAGAAGTTATAGAAACCCCAAGTTTGCTCGTTTTTTGTGACCCAGGGCAACTGGAAGAATAAATATATTTACCACTTTCTGAGATGAGGAAGGCTGTGTAGGATAAGATTTGGGGGCTGTATGAGGAGGTTGGTTTTGGATATGTAAATTTTGAGATGTGTTTTAGGTATCCTGTTAGACATGAGATGGGAGAAATGCCAAGGAAACTATTCACACCCGCAGTTCAGAGGAAAGCCCCAAGCTAGAGATAATATTAAATATCATGAGATTAGGTGGTCTAATTCATACAGAGCCCCGGGGCCCTCCCTGTAGAAAGGGTGGAAAGGAGGAGAAACCAACAAGGAAATGGTGGAAACTGAGGCACAGAGAGCACAATTCACTTGAACTTCGAGCGTCATAAGGCAGCAGAGGTTGGACTAGAGCTCAGGTCTTCAGAGTTGGAGTTCAGAGCTCTTTCCACTGGCCCAAAGCACCTTCTCTCTCATGGTACTAACTTACCCCTTGGATTGGAATTCTGTTCAAGTCCCTTGCCTGGGACATGTTTCATCAAGTATGAACAGAACATGGATTTTTGTTTCTGTTTTTCTCAGTGTGTTTGAAGTATTTCATTATTTTAAAATGCACTAAAATTAAAGACTTAGTGGGAGGCCTAGGCTGCCAACATGGATTTAGGCATTAGACATGCAAACTGAGACCAAAGGGAGATGTTGTCGGAGTAGTTTAAAGGAAAGATTCTGTTGTCTTGGATCCTGGTGACAGGCCTGGGCCACATGTGAGCATTTAATAAGCCAGACCAGTAGATGGGAAAGATGGAATCATGTAATAGGATAAACAGCTCAAAGGGAGAGGAGAGTCCTCACTTTCAAAGTAGGTCAAAGTCTTCTGGAATTTGAGCCTGGACTGCATCTACACATACCCCTTGGGTCCCCAGAGCTTGCCCTGCTTGGTGCTGGCCTGTTGTTATGTATTGGGGATCATAACCTGTTGCTCTGTGGAGGCCTCCACTGGGACTGGCAGATGTGAGTGGCAGAGATGTGTTTCTATCCACACTGATCTGTTCATCATTCCACATGCTCGTCCTGGGCACCGTCCAGTCTTGACACACCTTCTTGCCATAATACTGTCTTGTCTTAACACCCCTTCCTCAGAGGGAACTCCTTTGGCCTCTTTGTGAGCTGCCTAAGTGTTGAAAGGTCCTGGCTCCTTTTCCTGTGATCAGAAGCTCATTGCTGGGAATTGAGCCTATGTTTTTGCATCTAAATGATAGTTTCCTTATCTCGGAAAAGAAAGAAAGAAAGAAAAAAAGGCCAACACATACCAGATGCAGGAGATGGTCATAAAGGCCTTGTTTGCCTCCTTCCCTTGAGTCCAGAGAATGCTGTTCCTTCCTTTCTGGAGACAAGCGCTGACACCAGCAGGCCACAGAAAGAGCAGGGGCCTCAAAGTCATTACCCTTTTTGGATTTTGGTCTCTGCCCTGTTTCCTCTCTACTTCTCTACTAGTTCACCCTGAAGTGTTAACAGAGTTTGGGAATCTGTTAACACTGGCTTTTTTTTTTTGGCTCAGCCCTAAGTTCTCAGAGCCACAGGAAGCAGATTCCTGTCCTCCTTCTCGGCGGGCCTGCCCTAGGTCAGGGCCAGCAGGCTCTCTTGCCTGATGTTCATAGCCATCTTACGTTTTCCTGCCTTTCACCTCTTCTCCCTGAGCTGACTCTGCATTAAGGCTTCATTTGATTATGTCTCTCCTTGGTCCCAAAACTTCAAATGTCTCCCCATCCCTCAAACCAAACTGAGCATCACAAGAGAGACTTCGGCACTTCCTCACAGTGTTCTTTTTTCTCCTAATTTGTCTAGATCCCCAGGGACAGTAAGTTACTCAGTTTCCCCCCAAACCACTGCCTTTTCATCTCCCTGCTGTCACAAATGCTACCCCCCGGGCCTGGAATGCCCTTCCCTTCTTCAGCTGATCACTGCAAAGTAAAAGAGACTATTCTTTCCAGGAAAATCCCAATGCAGCAGAAACTTCTGAGTGGAAGTGTTGCTGAGAGTCACAGGAAAGTTCTGGATCATGGCCTAGAACAGCAAGGTGCCCACATCATCTCTGCTTCTCACCAGCCGTGTGACCTAACTCCAATGCCTGAGCTTGGGTAATAGAGGCTGCCAATATTCTAGGGGTTACACACCAGCAGGATAGCCTAGAAATGTCCTCAAAGCACATGCACCTTAGGATTATCTGGGGAACTTTAAACCCCAACTTCAATGCTCACGTCTTACTCCTGATTGATTATATTTGAATCTCTGGGGGTGGGATTCAGCCATTAGTATTTTTATAAAATTCCCAGGTGACTTCCATGTGCAGCCCACTTTGAGAACACTGGGTGTAGACATGATGACCGCTTTGTTGTGACATGGAGATCTCCCCCCTGTTTCCGTGTCTTGTGTCTCCTCTTCTTATGCGGACACCTGTCATATTAGATTAAGAACCTACCCTACTCCAGTATGACATTGTCTTAACTAATTATATCTATAAGGACCCTATTTCCAAATAAGGCCACCTTTGGGTGTACTCAGAGTTAGGACTTTAACATATCTTTTTTGGGGGTTGCAGTTCAACCCGCTAAAGGCTCCTCTTGGCTGTGACAGTTTTTCCAACTTTTCTTATTGGTGATGACTTTACATCTGAGCAATACTGGTCAAGTGTTTTTTAGAATATCTCCGAAATGTGATTTTTCTGAGAATGTTTCTCATGATTAGACTGGGGTTATGAGATTTGGGAAGGAAGAAAAAACACACAGGTACAGTGCCGCTTTCATCACAGCATATCAAGGTCACATGCTATCAACATGACTTATCACTGTTGATATGAACTGTGATCACCTGGCTGTAGTGTTTTGTCAGTTTTCTCCACTATGAAGTTATTCATCCCCCTCACCCATTTTCATACTGTGGTCTTTGGAAGGAAGTCACTATCTGCAGCCCATACTTAAGGGATGGAGAGTTATTTCATCTCCTTTAGAACAAAATATTTACATAAATTATTGACATTCTCCATGGGAAATTTATCTATTCTTCCCCATTTATTTATTTACCCAGTAATTTTTTCACAGAAGTATGTGCTCGTGGACATTTACTTTATACTTTGGGTTATAACTCAATACTATTAATTTGTTTTCTTGTTCATATTATTACAGCTTTGGCCATTGGAGCTTCTCCAGTAGGCTCCTGTGTCCCTTTGGCATTCTTTCATCATTTTGTAACTTCCTTACTTTCTAAAACAAGATGCTTTAGGCTCATCTTGTACCAGAAGTATACCCATAATAGGACAGGGTATATTTCCTGCCTTAGTCCTAGACTCAGCCATTTTATCAAGGGGTTCCTTTTATTGGAGAATAGTATTAGAAACCAAAAGTTGAATACTATGTGTCCTTGTTGCTACGGGGTGTTATCTTTTTAGGCTGAGCCACATTTTTAACCTTGCTGTGCTTCAGTTTGCTCACCTGTAAAATGGGGATACTAAAGTATTTTCATCACAAGCCATTGTGACAATTAAATTATAGAATCATGTAAGAGCTTAATGTAATCTCAATTATACAGTAAATGCTCAAAAATGCTTGTGATTATTTCCCATAGAATTTTTTCTATGTGAGATAAATTTAGTTGCCACAGTTCTTCCCCGTTTGCTAATTTTTCTGGTACAACAACCTTCAGGAGGGGTTAGGCAAAGATGTTTCTGCCAGTTTACAGATGGAGAAATTAAGTGAATAAAGGATTCAGCATATGCTGCATTAGAACCTAAGTGTCTTCATTTCAAGACCCATTCTAGATCCAGACTGGCTATCCTCCCTGCCACCTGAGGGGTATAGCTTTCCTGTCCCTGCTTCTTGCCTAGCTTTTCTTGAAGGACTTCTTGGGTTAGGGTTAGGGTTGATTTTTAGACTCACGTCACCAGGAAATACTAACTCATGGCACAAAGTACTCTAATCCATAACAGGCCACTCATAGACATGGTGCCATATTTTCTGAACCAAACAATTGAACACATGATCCAAAATTTTTTTTCTATTATGTATGGATGACAATCAAGAAATATAATTTGGATGTTGAAAAATTGGCATCCTGATATTTTAATCACTTACAAGAATAGAGGGACAAGGTATTTAATCAGAACTGACCAGCAAAACTTAAGACATGCTATTGTATTGATAGTATGACCTTCTCATCATAGCCCCTCTCTCTTTTCATGGTGCAATGATCCTAATCAGATACAGAGAAATGCTGATAAGTGAAAACATAACTCACCAGAATCATCAGTGCATGCAAAACCTAAGCCAAACAGGATGCTTTGACTCAATGCAGATGTTTATTGGAACAAATGTGTAGTCACCCACAAGAATAACAGCTTTTTTTGCTAATGAAATTGGTGTGATCATTATTGACAATAACAACCTTCATGGTATGAAATCATCGCTTTAGATATAAAAAGTATATTCTAGGGAGGGGGACTTTGGTTGCATAGAAGAGACCTTTCTAAGAGGCAGCTCATGTTGAAGTTGGAATGGGCTGCATTTGGAGGTAGTGAGTTTCCCATCCCCAGAAATATTCAAGAAAGAGGTCATAAAGTTAGACAAGATGGTCTGAACAGACATGCCAACCCTCTGCTTCTCTGACTGTGAGAGATTTAGGTTTCTTGGACCTTAGCAGAAGTGCAGGGGCTGATGTATCTTTACACAGCACATTTAGACATTTCTTCAGAATAAGGATGGAGTTGCAGGTGGGAGAATAGATGGGATAAACTGTGTCCAGCCAGAGGTTAGTACAGAGAGCTGTCCCCTGCTTTTTGAAAGTTTGATTTACTGCACTTTATTTTTACAAAAGACCTACATTAGTACCTGTTTCACTGACCAAAAGAAATCTGAAGAGGATATTCAGTTTTAAGAAAAAAAGGTGACAAGCAAAATTAGGGTTCAGCATTTGTTTTGTAGCGAGCTCTCACGGAAACACCCTGAGCGGTGAGAGTGGCCTGGCCGAGCCTTTCCCCAGGAATTAGGCCCAGCAGCTCAGCGCCAAGGCGCCATAGCTTTGAGCTGTGTCTGTGAGCATCTGTGCTTTATCTTGATTTATTTTGTGCATTGGTTAGCAAGATGTGTCCTAAGGTAATTGTTTCTTCACTTTATGCTATTTTAGCTTACAAGAGGTTTTATAGGAATGCTTTTCTTTTGATTAGTAGGGTGGGGTGGGGGGGCGTATTCGTGTGAAAATCCTGAGGCTGTCTCATTGTTGTCTGACATTAAGGAGAAAGTCCCCTTAAATACTGGTTCTGATTCTAGAATCAGAACATGGGTCTACTAGATATGTTGTTTTTGTGAGAGAAGATAGTGTAGCCTGAGGAAAGCCTGAGGGAACATTCATTTGCTCTGTGCCCCTTTCACCTGGAAGGCCTCCCTGTCTTACCTGTGGAATGCCTACCGTCCTCAAGGTTCGGCTCTAACACCACATTGTCTGGGATGCCCTCCCTATGTTCCCTCCTCCAGTGCCTCTGTGCTGCTCCAACACATCGCAGAGGTGGGACGGGGGGTTCATTTTGTTCAAGGCACTTGTGTATGTATCGGTTCCCTCTGTTGGAGCTTCTGGAAGGTGGGAGTCATGTTCCCCTCATCTCAGCAGTCTCCAGAGCAGTCAGCACAGCCTGGTCCATGGGTACTCCCAGGTAGTGCTGTGAATCAGGGAGGTTTGGTGGTTTGGAATGCCCTAGAAAAACTCCAAAGCTTTGCATTGCACGTCTTTATTGGTTTATGAAAAAGAACTCAAACTTGCTTGAAAAATGTCTAATGGAGTTGGGTCCCACTGTCATCTTCCCTGTCCAGAGTAAACTGCAGGGCACAGAGAGGTAGAATGACTAGCTCATAGAACCAGAAGCACGCTGTGACCTGCTGTCCCTGAGCATTCAGCCTTAGGCTTAGTGTCCATAAGTCTCATTCAGTCTCATTCCTTGTCCCTTTTTTCAGCAAGAGACCCTGAGTGATTCTAGCAGCTCCGGGAAAGTCAAGAACTGAAGTCTCCCGTGAAGACCAATTTTCATAGAACTAGATGGGGACTTGGGGTTCTGATCCCTGGATGGGCTTAAATCTCAGAGGTCTGGAAGGGATGAGTTCTCTGGGAACTTCCTGAGAAAGGAGCTGACTCTCTGAGGGAATTCTGCATGGGAAACACTTAGCACTGTGTGGTGCTAGGGCGTTCGGGGTAAGGAACAGGGGTGAGGAATCAGAAGAATCGCTTCTTGGGGTCAGCTGTGGACACAGGGAGGGAGGGCACCGGGGCCTGAGTCTAGCCTATCAGGGCTGACGTGGTGCAGCTCCGATGCTCAGAAAGGGAAGAAGGGTGGGGCCTAAAGCAGATGCTCTGCTTAGGAATAAGGGAAGATTCCTTGACTAGCACTTTGCCTGGGGCCATGTCTTTGGGAACCAGGGTGTGGTGAATGAGGGTGGGTGTTGCTATAGGAGCAGTTTTTTCTCTGCGTCAAAACTCTATTGAACTTTAATGTAATTTTTGCTTTTTGGTTACTTTGGCTTTAACTCATTCCATCAAGGAAAAATGGCTTCTTTGGATCCTCGATCATCAGAGCTGGGAGGGTCCTTTGGGATGAGGGGGAGGGACCTGCTTATAGTCACACAGATTGCTGGGGGCAGAGCTGGCTCTAGAGCCTGGTGTCTGCTGTCCCAGATGACCATTTCCAATCTCCCTCTCTGCCTTGCTTCTTGCAAGGCTCTCTCACAATTTGTCATGTAGCTCGTGCATTGCTGTGGGACATGCTGTAGGACTAAGCACCTTTTCTCATTTTCTTTTTTTATGGGGGGTAGGGATGGGGTTGGGAAGGGTGTGTGGTAGCACAGAAGCCCAGAACTTTTGGGGGCAGATGAAAGAGATGGTCAAGGTTGAGGGGAAGGGTACACACTGATCATCCCTAAGACCCAGCCAGGATTTGTAAGAGAACTTTGCCTGCCTGGTAGACACATTGACATTCTGCTAAGTCACATTTATAGGGCACTTAGTTTATGCCTGCACTGTGCTAAATGCTACATATATATTAATTAATTCAATCCTCATCAAATTTTTATGAGGTAGGTAAGGTATGCAATTTCCAGAATATGGACAAAGAAACTGAGTTTCAAAAAGCCGAAGTCATCTGCCCAGCATTGCAGACCTAGTGAGTGACAGAGATTGGATTTGGCTCTATGTTCTGATCACTCAGCTACTCTGTTTCTGTAAAAAAAGAGAAAATGGGGCTGAGATGGTCCCATTATTGGCCAGTAATAGAGGGGCTGAATGAGGTGGGTGAAGGGTGAGAGCATCTTGCATCAGATAATTATCTTCTGCTGCTGACTGACCACGGACAGGTGGTGAAAAATGGAATTCAATTCCTTATGTTGGTGACTCTCTGGATCCAGTCCTTGTTGCCATAGACGTAGGAATATACTCCATAGCGGTCCTTCTTTCCACAGTCGTCGCCCCAGGACACCACGCCCACCAAGTACCACTGGCCTCTCTCTTTATCCAGGGTCACCATGGGGCCTCCAGAGTCACCCGAACAGGAGTCTTTGCCCCCTAGGTGAAAATACAAAAAAGAGACGCAGGTTAAAATAACCTGTCCCCTTTCCTAACCCCAAATCAAAAGGAGCCTCCTTCTCCCCACCATTGACTTGTAGTTCAGAGAATTGGGCACAAGGGGGTGCAAGCAGATCATTTGACTCAAACCTGGGCTCTGAGAAGTTCTAGGTCAGGCCTTCTCAGAGCCCAGCGATTTTAAAAGCGCAGGTTAAGAACTCTCCTGTTTCATAGGTGAAACGTTGAACTTTAAGAAGGGAATAATGGAAATTTCTTAGCACTCTTCTCTCTGACGCAGATTCTCTTGCAGAATCCTTCCTTTCATGGCCTTCCTCCCCGTCTCCCACTCTTTCCAGCCCTTTCATTGCTGGGCTCTGCACCACTTTCTGCCTGGTGGTGCCCTATTATGTGCCAGTCTCTTGACTCACCTTCCTTCTCTCCAGCACAGATCATGTCCCTGGTCACTTTCTTCTTCAGTGGGGCATAGGCATTCTGGCAGGTGAGGTGATCAACAATTGGGATTTCGATCTAAAATACAAGGCCATTGTTAGTCCCCACTCCTGGGTGAGAAGTCCCTGCTGTTCTGACAGTCCCTATAGCTGGCTCCTCCCTATCTCTATCCCCATCCCCATCCCCATCCATTTTTGTTTAATCTTCTCTATGATCATGTACAGACGACCACTCTTTCAGGTCTCCAGGCTGAGCCCTTAATAAGCTACAGAAACCGTCAACCGTCTCATGTTTAGAGACTAGAGACCCATGGTATGCAGAACAAACAGATCAAGGTCGTTGAGATTCAAAGTCCCAGTGAACTCTGAGGTGAGTGTAAGCCTCTGGTGTCTTCCTCAACCACCCCCCTGCCCAAGCCTCCAAGTCCCTGAGGGGTAACACAGAGCAGGAAGGTGCCATGCAGGGCAGAGGTCACTCCCTGTAGGGCATAAGTAGAACTTCACCTCCATCAGGGTCTCTGGGAGCCTTTGCAAGAACTGCCTCCCCCAACCACTGACGATGACCATGGACCCTGGAGAAGAGAAGACACAGTGGGAGCACAGAGGCTGTCTGTGGGGTTTTCAGAAGGTTGCATCTGGCAGCCCCATCACACCCTGCCTGAGGAGGAAGGGCTGCATTTGCACCCTCAGAAAAAGGCGGCGTGGTGAGGGGGAAGACTGCTGGGTTGGAAGTTACCTGCAACAGATGTCTAGGAATTTGTTTCTATGAATCATCAGCTGGTTTGCTTAGTAGTCTATTCTCTCCCTGTCCCAGCTAGCACAGAGCCTGGGCTCCATGAAGGCGGTCATCTCCCTTGTCTGTAGCAGCACTGGCATATATAGGCACTCAGTCAATAATTGTGAGAAAAAAAAAAAGCCCAACCTAGTCCACAATATATTATGCAGCCTTTAGCAAGCCCTCACTGCCCCCTCCCACCTGAGCCTCAGTTTCCCTGCCCCTCAAATGAAGAGGCCAGACTTGGTATCCTCTGACTTCTCCAGCTCCCAGCTCCAATATTCTAGAAGTCCACAAAGTTGGCAAATCTCAGAGTGTGGTGGAAGTGGATTAAACACTGAGAGAACACTTATTTCTTTATTTGAGGAAAGAGAAAAAAACTTGGGTCCTGGAAATAGCACTGAGCTTTAAGTTGAAAAACCTGGATTCTAGCCCCTGATCTGCTCTTACAAGTTCTATGTTGGGTAAAGTCACTTCATCTTGCTGACCCTCAGTTTTCTCATCTGGAAATGGGACTACAGTACCACCTCACAAGGCTTTTATAAATGGTAAATAAATTAATGAATGTAAAGCAACTGTACAAGGTAGGCACATGGCATTTGATGACTCAGAGCCATAGCTGTGTTTTTCCTGTTGGCTTGCTCCACCTAAATACTTCTCAAATTCTACTCAGCCATTTTTTTAAATAACTTCTTTACACTAAAAGAATTTATCTGTGATGTGGCATCGCTAAACTTCCATCAGAATAAAAGGGAAGCCAACTGCCCTGGGTTGGACTTACATTCTATATTGGATATATTTGCATATAGTATTTCATTTACATATCACAACCACCCCCTGGGGCATTATCCTCAGTGTAGAGGTCAGCAACTGAGGTTCAGCAGCTTCCTCAAGATCAACCAACTAGGAAATCGTGGCATGAGGATTTGAGTCTATACTAGTGATTAAGATATCGTCCCTCAGCTCCAAACTTAGCCTTCTATGCTCTGCTTTGTGATGCAATGAATGAGACTCTGAAATGGCACTTCTGCTTTGTCAGGGGGGATCCTGCAAAAAAGGGGCACTTCCAGGAAAGCTTGCCATTACTGTCAGCATCACCCTACCAATGGATTCTTACCCAAGCAGTGGTGGTTGGTTCCAGCTCTTCTTCCTAACACCATCAGCACAGGAGCCTGAGTTCTCACTCCACAGGGTCCCTGTCCAAGCTTCTTGGTTCTCTAACTCCATTCTCTTCCATTTGTTCCCCCAGCCCCAGGAGTGGTGGTTCCTTCCTGCAAGTACTGTCTCTAGTGTCTCAACATCCCCCTTCCCTTCTCCAGTACTCCAATACCCTATGTTAGATTCTCTCTGTTACAATAATTAGTCTGTTCCTCCATCTGGACTCTGACTGATATAGTACTTACAGCACTGATCAAGCTTGCCTGTTTACTACGTGCTGTCTTGGAACCAGATCTGACTTAGCTGTCTTAGAGGAGGCAGCTAAGGAATCATGTGGACACTGTCAGCTGGCTTGGTTGGCACCAGAGCCTCACCAACGCCAGAGAAGAAGTCTCTGAGGAGGCACCTGCTGTTCTGCAGAGGTGATATCAGGGGTGGGAAGAGGTACCTTCCTCCGGGGGCCTGTCTGGCAGACAGATGGGCATCACAAAGTCATTCAGCACCGGACCCTTTGACAGCTCCACCAGAGCCACATCATTCTCAAATGTCTTGGGGTCATACAGGGGATGGAGGACGAAGTGTTTAACCTGGAGATGTTGTTCAGTCTCATCTCTCCGGGACCTCCAATGTTTACCTGGGCAAGAATAAGGCACATGAGGCATAGAGATAAAGGAGGTACAGAAACTAAGGTCTTGTCTTGCTCCCTGTCAGCCCCCTATCCTATCCAGCCTATGTTTCTAGCCTTAACTCTTTTCATACTTCCCTTCACACCTTTCTCAGCCATCCTGCCCTACCTGCTCTTCCCCATGTAATCTCTTGGACTTCCATCTCTGTCTTGCTTCATGAGCTGATCTCACTGCCTTTAAATACTCATTCCAGGGTTCATCGCCACATGTTCAAATTATATAATCACCCCTCAGTGCCTGGATCATATGTTGCCAGCTCCATGAAGCCTCTTCAATTCTTGAGTTAGATTCTTCAGTAAGAAGTCTTCCCCCTCCCAATCCCCCATGGAATCCCATGACACTTTATCTGTTTTTCTCCCACAGAATTTACTGCTTTTTTTTTCTTCTTATATTAGAGGTCTCCCTGCTTATATTTTATTCTTTATTAGGCTGTAAGCTCCTTGTGGGCAGGAACTAGATCTTTAGAATACTGTGTCCTTAGATCCTAGCATAGTGTCAGTAGGGGACTGAATTGAATCAGCTGGTGGTCTTGGGGAAGGGAAGCTTAGATTGTATGTGCACTATCCACTTGAAACAATGGATTCACAGAAGGCTGAAGCATCTTTGGAAACTAGACTGGGCACTTTATTTTCCTGTTAGAAAACTGAGGCCTAGACTTCAATGACTTGCTCATGGTCCCTGCACCTGGAAATCATTGTCTTGAGCTTGGACTCAGGTCCCTGGACTGCAGTCTCAGCTGATTCTTCATCCCAGGTGTCCTGCCCTGATGAATGAGTTAGTGAACATACCACTTTCCCAGAACCACAACTGGCTTAGGAATCAGCTTGTCCCTCACTCACCAGCAATGATTTTGAAGTCAGAAGGGGCGAGCCTGTAAAAGTCGTGGAAGACTGGGTCCTCTGGATCGAGTGAATGGTGGAGGCAGTGAGCCGCAGTCAGAATCCAGTTGGAGCCTGAGAACAGAATTGTGCACACACACTGCCCTGCACTGCTCTGACCTGTCTTGAGCTGAAGGCCTTCAGACTACTCTAGGGTATCCTTCTCCATTGCACTTCAAGGCCCCTAGCCAGGCACTCATATACTAATCTAAAGATGAAGAGTTAAATCTGTGATTTTATCCGCCTTTTCCAACCAAAGCCAAGGCTGAACATCTTAAACAGGATTTCAGGCCTCCCTTAAACCCGTAGGGTTGGTGTGCTCCAGACAGCCCAAGGTGGGTTCACACAAAACCTTGTGCTCACCTGCCACCCCTCTGGCCTTGTGGTCCTTGGGCCAGCATCAGCAGCCTTATCTGGGAACTTCTTAGAAATGCAGACTCTCAGGCCCTCACCTCAGATCTACTGAATCAGAATCTGCATTCAGGAGGAAAATCTGGGAATTTTAAGAAGATCCTCAAGTAATTCCTATGCACATTAAAATTTGAAAAGCACTGCTTTAGCAGGGTGCTTCTCAGCTGTGGATGCACATAGAATTGCCTGGGGAATTAAAAAGACAAAAACAGAAACAAAACAAAAGTAGTGCCTGGGCCTAAAACTGGACCAGGTAAGTCATGGGAGTATGGCCCAGGCACAAGTGTATTTTAAAAGTTCCCCAGATGATCTTACTGCTATCACTGCTCTGATCCTAACCTCCTGTTTTATAGGTATGGGTCCTGAGGCCTGGAGCAAAGCAGGGATGTCTAGGGTCACCCAGAAGGTTAGTGGCAGGCCAGGGCCAGACCCTGGGTCGCTTGCCCATTGGCCTAGAGCATTTCTCCTATCTTGGCTACCTTTTCCCCTCAGTGGACAGGTTCCTCCCCTTTGCTTAATACAAGGTCAGACTTTTGTTCATCCTTTAGGTGAAGCAGATGATAAACCCATAACTAACTAAAGCTAGAAACATAACCAAGATGAACCAAACAGGAAAAAGGCACCAGGGCTTGGGGGTGGGGAGTATCAGGTTGGAGTTCAGAGTCCCAGGCAGAGGTGTTTTTTGGCAACAGGAACCAGGCCCCACTTGGCTCTCTCAGGACCCACTGTGTGCTCTGGCTACTGGGTTCTGAATAGAGCTCCATGTAGGCCACACTCTTTCCCTGGAGGCATTTTTGATCTCTGTGCATAGCCAGGGACTCTTGGTCAAATTTTCCATGTAGATAAAGTGGGATGATGTAGCCAGGTAGGACAGCCTGCTTCACAGCAGGGCTCTGGGCCATTTTGACAAACCCAGGGTGTTCCGGGGGGAGTCCAGAGATCTTACTTTACCTCCCAGCTCTGCAAATACTCTTAAAGTCCCTGAGCCAAGCTCCCTCTACCCATGTTTCAATGTGGGCACCAAAAAGGGTGGTGCTTTCCCTCCTTCCTCCATCCCTCACCCCCTTTCCGGCCTCTCTGCTTCCTCTGTTCTCTCCCACCCCACACTCCCTCTATAACACTGAGTACCAGGAGGAGGATAGAGATTCTAGATAGGAGAGCTGTGCAGGGGGGAGCATGGGAGAACTTGTAGCTCAGCCGAGGATAGAGAAGCAGATTTCTAACATCTTCAAAACACAGTAGAGAATAAACATGCAGTAGATATGAATTAGCATTGACCATTATTGAACATAAAAACTCAAGACTTAAGAAAACTAATTGAATTGTTAAAACCGTGGGCACATAATCCATCTCTTTCACTCACATTCTAACAAAATCGGCAATGGCTGGTGAAGTGGCCTTGCTCCCCATTCTCCTTGTCTGCCCCTCCTCACCATTTCTTTGCTTCTCTCCAGACATTTTCTTCACTTCTAGTTCCTCCCTGCTCTTCTGTCTTTCCTGATTTCTCCTCTCACTTGGGTATCTTGTGCCCTACCTGTATCTCTTCCTTTCATCATATTTGTTTACTTTTATTTTCTCCTTTATCTCTCTCGAGGTCCCTCTCTATTATTTTCCAGGTCTCTCCTATTCTCTGTGTCTCTTTCTGTCCTCTCTGTCTCTGTCCTTCTAAGTTCTGTCTCTCTGTGTCCCTCTCCTCCCTTCTATTCCTTGGCCCTCTCCCCTGCCCATTCCCCACAGGGCTGTCCCTGACAGCTGTACTCACTCTTTGTGCCCCTTTGGGGGGCTCCATAAAGTGGGAACACTCACTTTGTGTGGGACTGTAAGGATCACTTCCTCCCAGAGGAGGGCTAACGCCTGGTTGCCATTTCACTTCTCCCAGGGTGTCCGGCGCCTCCCCTTGGGGATGGATCCCTGATGGGAGCTGTCCTCATCTGACTGCACCCTGGGAGGTGGGTCAGTAAGGTGGGCGGCCCACAGCATCAGGAGCTGTCCAGGCACATGTGGACCCATCCAGACCTTCTTCTGTAATGGGATCAAACCAGAAACTGGCTGTGGGCTCTGGAGTGCTATTAATTTTTCTATGATGTTAGAGATGGGATGGACCTTAGATCAAAAATTGCAGCAGGAAACTTTGTCAGCCATTCCTTTCCTGTCCTTACTCCTTCTCCCACCACGTTTAATCCATTACAAATTCTGATGCTTTTGCCCTGGCCAGGTGGCTCAACCAATCAATGTTTCTCTTTCTCTCTCCTTTTCTTTCTAAAATCAAGAAACATAACCTCAAGGGAGGATTAAAAAACAATCTTAATGATTCATTTTCCTAATGCTTTTCAATCTGCCTCATTTCCATCCCTTGTCTCCTGTCCTTATTCTGAAGCTAAGGACTTCCTTCCCCACTACTGCAATAGCCACCTCACTGAACTCCTGGGCATCTGAGCTACCTTTCTTTGCCATCTATATTGCCCCTAGAGAGAACTTTCCAGAACATGCTTATAAGCCTGCCTTAGTGTTCAGGATATAATTTAAATTCCTAAGAAGAGCACTCAAGGCCTTTGCACATTTCCCTTCCCTAACTTCAGGGTGAATTTCCTGGTTCTTGATCCCACAGCCCTGGTACACCCTGCCTTTGAGCCATGTGTTGTTACCCATGTTTGAGGGGCTGACTCTTTGGCCCTTCCATGTGCTAGAGACTGGCCAGGGCTCAGTAGGTGTTTGTTGACTAAAGGAAGCAGTTAGAATAGGAGGAACACATGTCTCCTGGATCCAGCTGAGGGCTCTTTCTGCAACACTGTGCTTCTGGGCCCTATTATTAGTGTAGGCAGTGGTTCTTTATGAAGAAGTGTTGATCTGTCTATAGAAAGAGGGTTGGGTACCTTTGCTTCCACCTCGGTCCCTAACCTGGGTCTCCCACCCCTTCCACCTTCTCCTTACCTATAAGGGAGCCTCCACAGAAGGGCTGCCCATTCGGGTGCGTCAGCATGGCAATCCAGGGAGTGGTGCCTTTCTCAACCGGGCGTCCACTGATGATCTTGGCTAACAGCCTCCGGGAGAACTTGGGGAGCCCACACACTGCAGCCAAGGGAGGGAGGGACACGTCACACTCTTGGCTCCATCTTGCCATTTGTCAGAGCTACCAGCTCATGTCTTTCTGTTAGGAATATCTGATACTTTTTGATCTCCCCGTATCCATTGCCCCATTCAGGAGCAGCATGCCAATTTTTTCTGGGATCCACCCTTCCTTTATTCCCAGTCTATATACCCTGAGTTGGAATAACTTTAGTTTTGGTTTTAGGGGTAGGGATGTGACCCGGTCCTGACTAATTATTGCCTCTCATCTTCTGGTCAAGCAATTGCTCAGAAATGGGAATGTAACCCTGGCCAGGCCAATGAAAACCTGACTTGGGAGTTTTGCTAAGTATTTTAGAGAGAGAGAGAGAGAGAAGGCCTTTTTCTGCTGGGGTTTCTAAGCCACTGCCTATAAGCCCAGACCTTCATAGAGTGTCTGCTGAGAATAATGTTACAAACAAAGAAAAGTGGAGCTAGAAGGTGAGAAGTGAAGTAAGGGAGAGACTGTATCCTGATATTTAGGTTCCTTGACATAACCACACCTGAAGCATTTTGGCATAAACTCTTCAGTTATGTGGTCCTATAATTCTCTCTTTCCCAGTAGATACATGAAGTCTACTGGGTGGGAAGTGTTTCAACCATTCCTTTTTCCATCTGCTTCCTCTGTGAACTTCCTTCTCTTCAGAACTAGTTCTTGGTTTTGGATCTCTTCACTTCCAAACTCTTGGGGACCTGGCTTTGGGGAGTCTTATTTCTTTCCTGTATTTTTCATCTCTCCTTTGTCTCTGCCTCCAAAACATGGTCAGGCCTTCTCACCCTAAAACCAAACTTCTATCCTCTCTGATTCCTATTGATTTCAAAGTCTCTCCTCCTCCTTCCCATAGCCGAGCCTCTGGAGAGAAAAGATGACAGTCTCCACATCCTTCTTTGAATTTGGAAGAAGTGCTATGCTTTGCACATACTTGGAAGTAAAGTGGCCATTTGAATATTTAATAGACCCACAACCATAGATGGAGATAGAATGGCTCTGGGCCCATAAATAGAACTTCAACAGTGATCTATACCTATATAGGAAGATACTGTTTGAAGCTTTATCTCATGTGTTCTTCATCCCTAGGAAGTCTCCTTGTCTTGTGACTCCTCACTATTGAACCTGGAGCAACCTTCTTTGAGGTGAGGCTAGATGCAGCTTTGACTTTTGAAAGAGTACAGCACAAACCAAAGTCTGGAAATAGAAACTTTCATTTGAAGAGTCAGGGGTTGCAGTGAAAAATTTGTTGGTTTTTAAAGAACCACAACCAGAAGAACTGAGCATATAATTTTTTCTGTAAGCCATAAAAAAGGGAGAATGTAAGGGCAGTGTCCTGCCTCAGGAAGGAGATAAAAACCCAGGAGAAGCCTGGAAAGAGAGGGAGGGAGGAGGAAGGAAGGGTGAAGGAGAGAGGGAGAGGTTGGGGGCGGGAGAGAAAAGAAAGAGGAGGAGGGGAAGGAAGGAGGGCAAGAGAGGGAGGGGTTGGGGACTTTAAACACCAGGGTGGGGCTTGTTTCCTGGCTATTCTTTCAGAGTTGACAGAAGAGGCTGGGTCCCTGTCCCTGGTGAATGTCCAGCCTAAGGTATTCCTCTGAACTATCCTGTGGCATTTGCTCTGTTAGCTACTTTTCAACTCTCATGACACTTTTCTTCCTTGACTTCTGAAGCACTTCCCTTCCCCTGTTTCTGATCCCTCTTTTTTTTTTTTTTGGCTCCTTCCTCTTCTCTCTATGCCTCCCCTTCTGGTATTTCCATTGTTCAGTCCTCACACTCTGCCCCCCTTTTTTTTTTGCAAACTTCCAATAGATAATACCATCTCTTCCTATGCCATCCCACCACCTATACCTTGATGAATTTCAGATCTGTGTCTCTAATCGGCTTTCTTTTGTTAAATAGCTCTTTGGTTACATCTCCAGCTGGATTGCTCATAAATTTTTCAAGCACAGCAAAACAAAGCTCTTGTCTCTACCCTTCACCAACTTTCTCCTCTTTGTTATTCAGATGTCTATTATTGTCTGCACTGGCCTCATCTTTGTTGCTTCCCTTTTCTTCACCCCGATATTCAACAAAGCAGTTAAAAAAAAACACCAGGGGAAGCAGAGAGTAATATGTCTCTGCTACTCCATGTAACCCCATGACCCCCTCAGTCTCTTAATATGTCACAAAACAGTTCAAATATCTAGAGAAAAGTAAAAATGTGAAATGTAATAGAGCACAAGACATGATAATCCTTGAAACCAGCTACAATTAAAGTGTAAAACATAATTTAGGATAGTTTTAGTTCTCAGTGTGTAAAAAGCATGACATTGTAATACAAACTCAACAAAGGCACAGCATGAGTGCTTCCCACAGAGAGCCCTCACTGACAGGCTGGCTTATGCCGCCCCTACACTCTGCACCTTCACTATTTCTATGCCTAGACACCACGCCCTGCTGGATATATCACCACTGAAATGTTTTTAAACTCCTCACCCCCACACCTGGGCTATCAGCCCTAGGTTTGGTGGGTTTTCACCATCTCCCTCCAGAAAGATTGCAGTAGCTTTCCAACCTCTCTCTCTAGCTCAGCCCTTCCCCACAAGCCACTTGCCACTCTCTGCTGTTCACCCTCAGACCTGCTGATTTGAGAATTTCCTGGCAGAGACTCAAGAATCTGCATTTTAAAAAAGTATCTCAGGTGATTTCTGATACACCCCAAGTTAGGGGTTACAGGACAGTGCAAACACAGTATGACTTTCAAGATTATTGCTGTTCTCCCTTAATCCCCACTACTCCCTCTTTACTCATGCACACTTTCCTGCTTGATCTTTGCCCACTCTGCCCCGTCCCTTCCCTCTCCCAGTGCAGCCTTTGCAGCCCCTCTGCAAAGCTTCCCAGATCCTCGTCAGCAGTATGGACTTTTTGTTCCTTTTAAGTTTCCACAACACTGCACTCTCCACTCCTCTCATGACACTCATTTCCTTTTGCCTGTGTGAGACCTAGGAGCAAAGGACCTTGCCTTGCATGTTAGCTTGAGCTCTTAGAAGTCAGACTTAAATAGCAGGCACTACAATGAAGGAATGTGCAGGCTCGAGAGCACATGTTAATAACCAACCCCATTCCTCCGCACTTTTTCTTGGCTGATGTCTAGGTGCCAAAAATTGTACTTCCTCTGTAACGCGAGAGGCTTTGGCTTTACAAGAGGCAAGTTTCTTTTTACAGAGTCAAAACAAACAAGCATCAACAATAACCAAACCCCCAAACGAAGGCTGTTGATTATCCACAGAGGTTTTATTTCCACTTTAGACCCCTGAAAGGAGAAACAGAGTGCAGAGGCACCTTACAGAGTAGTGAGCTTGTGATATAAAATATACAATATATAGCATCCTCTACATGCACTGTTCATAGACAAAGGAGTGTGGTTTCATGAACCCATTAGAAAAGTGGACACTCTTCAATTGTTCTCTTGGAATCCCTCTCAGAGTCTTCTCTGGCTGCCTTTCTCTGGAGGAAAATCCCAGGAGGACCATCATCCCTAAGAAAGCGAAGGAGAGGCTGCTGGCAACTGGCAGCACTGAGTGACGGAGCTAGAAAGACCCTGAAAGGGATCTAATACCTTCCTTTTACAGATGGGAAAACTGAGGCCAAAAAGGGAAAGTGATTTGTCAAAGCTTATATAGCCAATTAAGGGCAGAGCTGGGGCTAGAGCCCAGGACTCTTGGCTTTTCGGTCTCTTCTCACTGTCTTTCACAAGCAAGTCTCTGCTGCCTTTTATAAGGGTCCCGGGAGCCGGAGGAGTGCATCTCTCTGAATCCATGCTGGATGGATTCTCTGAAGAGCTCAGACTCTGGGTACACTGGGCAGCCTGGTGGGATGAGGTCACTTTTAATGTCCTTAGCCCACCCTTCTTACATTTTCCTGCCCAGAAGCACAGCAGAGCACAGCAGGGCCTTCTCTTTTTTCCAGGCAATCCAGATGAGTCTCCATGCCCAGGGCTGGGGCTCAGGTGGACTTTTCAGATGATACATTTCAAGGCTGGAAGGTTGCTTCATTCTTGTCTGGAACAGCAGGTATGGATAACCTGTTGTGGTCAGCTGGTATTTGAGAGTGACATATGGTTCCAAATGACATGTTCTGAGTTGACAAAAGGAATTTAGTAGGGTTGGGGAGCCTCCCACTGCTATTCTCCTCCCCAAGTCACGCCAACATTCACAACTTTTTATTTGTCCTTTCAAATCCCTTTAACAGAGAATATAAAGGTTAAGGTTTGGACTACAGGAAGCTTTTGGGAGAGAAACCCCAGGGATAAGAGTACAGCAGGGGTTACCCTGGGAGAGAGGGACCTCAGGGTATGATCCTCATCTCCCCAAACCTGAATGGTTTTCTCCAAGAGGTGGAACTAGACTTGTCTGTGCCCAAATGACAAAGCTGGGAAAAATACATGGACTCAGAGTTCACTTCCATGAACGGAAACATTTTCTAACAATCAGGCCCAGTTATACCAATAGTGGGTTTGATAAGTGAATAGGAGTGAATAAGGCCACTGGGATAAAGCGGTCCTGAGAGGAAGGAGTGTTAGGAGTGGCCCAGACATCCAGCTCCCTCATATTGCTGAGGACAGTGAGGCCTGGAGAGGGGAAGGGGCTTGCCCAGGGCCATGGGCCCAGGTCTCCTGTGCAAACTTTTCCCTGTACCACTCTGCTGCCTCTCAGGGTCCTGGGGCTGTCTCAGGAGGATGGGAGCGGCAGATTCCATTCCATTTGGTCTGGTGAGTAACATGGAGTGTGCTGTCGGGAGTGTGTGGTCAGCCTCACTGGGGATGGGGCAGGGCGGGTGGGCCCTGGGGAGGTCAGTCAGCTCACCGCTCCACCTGGAGCTCCCCCAGACCTTGTGGGAAGCCCATCTGCTCCCACACCCAGTCCACATAGTTGGAAACCTTTGTGTAGACTCCGTAGACCTGCTTGCTGCCACATTCTTCAGGGCCGCCCCAGGACACCAGGCCTTGGGCCACCCAGGTCTGGCTCAAGTCATCAAGGATGACAAAGGCCCCACCACTATCTCCAAGGCATGTGTCCTTGCCGCCCTCATAATAGCCAGCACAGAACATGTTCTCTGTGACGCTGTAGTTGCCTAAGCGGGACTCATAGCTGGTTTTGCACTCGGCGTGTGGCACTACGGGTAACTTGACATACTGCAGGACATCTGACAAGGTCCGCGTGCCACTGCTGATGATCTCATCCACTGTCACATTAGGATTGGAGATACCCCAGCCGGCCACTAGGCCTAGCATGTGGGGCGCCGGGCCTTCGGGTTCAGGCCTTGGCAGGCAGATTGGCATGACATGGGGGCCCAGAGGCACAGGTTCTTGCAGCTGTACCAGAGCTATGTCATGGTTGTAGTTTTGGATGTTGAAGTCTGGATGGAGCACCACTCGGGCAGCTGAGCTGTTCACAGCCCCTGATTTGTCCCTCATGTCATGGAGGCCCAGGTAGACAGTGATGTGCTCCTTGGAGACTGGTGTCACTGTGTTGTCTCTACGCTGGGAGCGCAGCACATGGGCTGCTGTGAGGATCCAGGATTCAGAGAGCAGGGCCCCACTCCCAAACCACTTGTCATTGGGCACCCTCGAGGTGTCCTCCACCACTATCAGGGCCTGCCATGGGAAGAGGCCGGGCTCAGCATTCCGGCCCCCAATGATCCGCTTGACCAGGTTTGGCAGGGAGCGGTAGGGCTGACCACACACTGTAAGAAGAAGGAGGGAGTGGGGACAAGAGACAGAGACTGGTCAGGTCAGCCACGTGAAAAGGGCCACTAAGAGAAATTCACATTTGACCCACTGTAGATTATGCCACCACAGCACCCTACTCTACGTTGTGGGGCCCCATTAGCCTGGGAAAGCTCTATGTAGGGTCATATTTGTCCTAAGCCTTTCTAGTCTGGCCAGCCTGTAGTCTGGACCTTCTGTAGCCAGGGTCATCTATGGACCAGACCATTTTGGGCATGGACTGTCACCACCTTGAACCGTTTCTAGACTGGATCACTTCTGGCCTGGAGCACTTTGAGCCAGGCCTGTCTCTAGGAGTGGTCATCTCTCCTCTTTTTTCTCTAGAAAGGCATCTTATATTCAAAAGTAGTCCATACTGTGGGCACTTGGAAAATTTCTGAAAACCATAGCTCATGGGCTTTGAGAGATAAAAGGAAATTAAAAGACTCTCTAGCAGGTCACAGCAAACACTGGACTGGGAGCCAAGATGTAGGCTTTTCTTTCCTACGTCCTATCTGACTCTGGATAAGTAAATTGCCCTCTCTAGATTTTAAATGAGGCAGCTGATCGAGATAATTTCCAAGGATCTTTTAAGTTCCTTTGATTTTTATCTCGTTTTCCTTTTATGGGTAAGTAGAACTCTATAGAGGTTAAGTGACTAGCTCAAGGTCATATGGCTATTAAGATAAATAGCAGGGGCTTAACTAGATTCTAAGATTGATGTCTTATCCTATATCCTACAATGCCTCATTACATGTAAAGATCACATGGTGGGACCTCTAACCTTTTCTTCTCTAGCATAAAGGACTCATGCTGTGAATGGATGCCCAGAACATATAAGGATAGGGAAAAGTGGCATAATCTACAAGCAATGATGCATGGGCCCTGTTCAGAGCCATCCATCATTGCACCCAGGAACCCTGTAGTACCTTCAGAGGAAGAAGAAAGGTCTGATCAAACTTCGTTCCACTGAGTTGTACCCCGAGCATGCACATGCACCACCAGCCTCCTGCAGCCAAACACCTTTGGCTCATGAACAGAGGGTCTTCAGTATCAGACCCCGCTGGCTAAGAATGAGTTCACATGGGCCCTTCCCAGCCTGGTTCTTAGGCCTGGGAGGTAAACCTGGTGTAAACATGGGCTTCCTCTTGGTTCAAATGGTCAGGCTATACTTCTTGGCCCTGGAAACTACCAAAAATCCTTTAAAGACCAAAGAGCATTTAAGTATTCTTGGCAACTTTGGTAGGTCAGGCTTTCAGAAACCTAATGCTTTTCAGATGTTCTTCTTCCTGATGCCAAATGTGTTTTATGTGATCCTGAGGGACCCTGTGTTCACACAAGGTCAGATGTGACCTGGCCTTTGCTAACTCTTTGTGGTCTGGCTTTTCACAGTTCAAGGCCAGACTCTCAATTACAAGCAGCAGCATACAAGGTGCTATCTCAAGGCAGGTCTGTGATTAGCCCACACAGTGACTCATCTAGTGCCAAAAGGCCCTTCTCTGGTGAAAGAAATGCCTGTGGCTCAGTCCCTGATCACAACAAAGCTAGTGCTGAATGGCACCCTTTTCCAGCCAAGGTGCCAATGGCATAATCCAGGTCACAGCATGTCAAGAGTTTGGGAAGCATGGAGAACAGCTAATTTACAGACGGAGAAACCAAGGTTCAGAGAAGGCAAGTGACATACTCAAAGTCATTAGTGGCAGAGCCAGAAATAGAGCCCATTTCTTGTGACTAACTTCATTTTCTCTATAAAAAGACTGTTTTTATTCTTGATATGCTCTTGTACTTTTGAAAGGTTGAATAATGGAGCAAGCCTTTGAGAGGGCTCATTGTCATAGGGCCATTCTTTTAGGCTGACACCATTCTACATTTTCTCTTTCCTGGGGGAAAAGAATCTTCTTGAAACACTATAGCTTCTGTGCTGAAGCTAGACTTGGGCTCTGTGAGATGAGGTGCTGAGGGAAGACTTTTAAAACAAAAATTTGATATTCTAAAATTTTGAGTTCATGAGGATGGCATAAAATATAATCAGAATCAAGAAAGGCTCAGCATTGCTTGTGCTGACATCAAAAGTCTTGGGTTCACCATTCGGCTCTGCCCCCAACTTTCTTTGGGTAGCCTTGGATAAATCATACCTCAACGATTCTTGATTTTCTCATGTGCAAAATAAGGGACAAATACTATTTGCTTAACAGTGTTCTTGGAAAAGTAGATATTATGATGACCCATGAAATGGTTTTCTCCATTCTGGATTGCTTCTGGGTTCAATCTCAGTGTTTTAGGAGGAGAGAATTTATAGATCTCTGGCTTAGTCCAATGATACATCATGGTTCAGCCCAACACCAAGTGTTAAAATAAGTTTATGACTCACTATATCCAAGATATTTTGTGTAAATATAGAGGATGATGACCATTAAGAGTCATACAATGCCATGGATCACATGGTTCTGCTCCCTCACTTCTGGTGTATGGAATCCTAGACCCAGAGAGGTGATATTACTTACCAAAGATCACAATTAGAAGGAAATAACAACACCTGGACTAGGACCCAGGCCCCTGACTCCTAGCTCAGTACCTCTTCCCCTTCCAGGGATCTCAGCCTGGCTGCCCATGATGGAATTCACCTGCAGTGCCGTTTTATTTGGCCCACATGGTATTTTAGCAAAATAGAGATTTGTCCCTCCAGTTTGTCACAGGTCCACCATTCCCCATTTTCTCTGAGGCTTGACCAACTGTGTAAAGCCTTGGGTGTCTTTCTGGCTAAGCCTAAATGAGATGATGGGGATCAGTAGAGTGTGGGTAGGTTAACCTTGCCCCTGTTTTACCACCTGAAGAATTATTTCTTAAGCATTAAGTCCTCCTAAGTGAAGTCTTCCAAACCAGTCCTCACCTCTCCAAGACAAGCACATGCCATAACTTCCTCCTTCTCTGGGACTTCATAGCTCCTATGATGGCCGAAACGGATTCCCAAATGCCGACACTTTCTTCAGTTCTTAAGGATAATGATAGATGACTCCATAGCCTTTCCATTTTAATGTCTAATCTAACATCTAGAAGTCTACTGAGTGATATTGTGAGTTACTAAAATGTAGCAGTCATACAATATAACATTATCTTATTCTACCTAACACTCCAATTCCGTAAAATACCAATGCTACCCAACACTTAACCATACTGTGAGGCTCCATATAGGAGTGAACACGCAGACAGAATCAGTACTGCTCCTCATGCTGTCTTCAATGGTTTTGTCTTTCAATTACTACTATTCTTGTTTTTTTTAAAGCATAAATTTCTGTGTTGTGAACACTAACCTTAATTTTTGTGGGTTACTTGTTTAACCCTACAATGTGCATTTAGGACTAGAATTTTCTAATAAGTTAAATCCAATGTATACATATGTGTACCATAATTGCGATGCAAATCATCCATACTTTTAATGCTAACACAACTACCTACAAAATATTCCCTAAACCCATATGCACAGTGATACTCTGTTACCAAAAGTCTTTTTTCATTTTAAAGGGGGTCAGTGTAAGCCAAGGGGAGGCAGCAGTCAGTAAGAATTTGGACACATTGGTCTTTGAAAGAACTTACTCTGTCAATAGTTATCTGATGTTGTTTGTTTCCTCTACAGCACAGTGAGTGCTTGAGGAGGGGGTGCCTACTTTCTTGATCTTCCTGACACACACAAACTATGTGGGATAAAACCTTGGTGTGAAAGGAGCACAGCTGCAGAGAGAAAAGACAGAAAGGCTCCTGGCCTCAGATAACAGATGAATATAGAAGCTCCTTGGTTTGAAAAGGTGTGAGGGTGGACTTCTCTGACCTTTGACTTTCAGAAGGTAGCTTAAGAAACAATCAAAGAATCATGCCCCTTAATCCCCTGCTTCACTAACAGTCAGAGCACCTGAAGCCCAAAGGCCTTGCATAGGAGACCTTGAAGCAGAGGACTTGAGGGTGAGGTACCTGGCAGGCAGGTGGGCTGGCTTCTTCCCAGTACTTCATTCATCCAGACTCCTTGGGCAGAACAGGTATATATACCTAGGAGAATGAAGAAAGATTGAAGAAAAGGGAGAAAATGGTTGACTTAAAGCACATGAAAAATGGATCTGGGTTCTTAATTCCTCTATTGTGGATCATTGCAAGTCTTTCAAATTGTCTTTCTAATGTCATTCCCTCTGAGTCAGTCAGTCCTCTCTGCAACTTGAAGGCTCTTTCTAAATGAGATTCTGACCATGTCCCTCCTCTGCTCAGTATCTCCAGTAACTCCCCATTGTCCTTAAAAACAAACACCACATGCTTCAGCATGGTATCCAAGGCTCTGCGCAATCTGACTCCCACCCGCCTGTCTGGGGGCTGCTCCATCCTCTCCCAGCCCTGCCCAACTCCTGGCAGTTACTTCTCATCATTAGTCATGCAGGCCTTGGTTCTCACAGTGCTCTGTGGCACACTTGCCCTTCCCTTCTTTCTCCACTTGACAAATTCTTTAATGGACTACACTCATGTCTACCATTTCATCTGAGTCTTACAGTAGCTCTGTAAATTTGATCACTGCTCCCTTTTTGAAATGAGGACTCGGAGACTTTGAGAAATTCAGAGAATTTTCTTAGTGCTAATTTGTGGCAGAGGCAGAACTGATCAGCCTTCCCATTTCCCTGAGGGTTCCTTCTCTGTGGGAGGCTGTGAGTGTGTAGGTGTGGATACAGGATTGCCATGTGGCCTAACACTTGGGGTGCAGGCCTGAGCCAGGGAGAGGCAAGGCATGTCTCCAAGTGTTTTTTCCTCCCCATTCCTCTCAAACTGTGGCCAGCTGACTGGCTGTTTCAGCCCCCAGACTAACCCTGAGATTTAGAGGGTGGGAGGTGGGAGGGGGCCAGTTTAGCATGGAGGGCTCACCTGTGATATTGTGGTACATCTTGTAGTAGGGCTGCTGGCAGGAGTATCTGATCTCAGATTTGTATGTGGTGAGGTTGTTCCTTGTGGAGAAGGTGACCAGCCCATGTTCCACCTCTGCCGGGGCTCCGCAGTCTGCAACTGAGAGGGAAGAGAGTGAGATCTCTCAGTTCTCCTTTGCTCTTCTTCCTGGAGATATCTGGTAGGTCTGTTTCACACAGATGTGCAGGTTGTACCCAGCACACAACTTCAGTAAGCCGTGTTATAGTCTGTGAGAATGATGCCCCAGGGATTGTGGAGGGCACATCCTGTGCGATCACCAGTGACATTGCTATTGGGGTTTCTACCATCTACTGTGTGGTCAACTCACCTGGCCTGAGGTCAATTTCAGGGCAAGGGCAGGTCTGCTGAGATTTAAGCAGCCCCACCTCTTCCCCACCAGGACCTTTTCCTTGATTCCCAGGTCTATTGTGCAATCTTCTTGGCCTCTCCTGCCCAAGCTTGAAGCCTATGGCTCAGCCAAAAAATTCTGGCTGACAAAAACCAAAGAATATTCAGTTCTTCCAGACCCAACCACATGCTGAGTAAGAGCCATTAATCACTCACATTGGATCTTATGCAAAAAAAAAAAAAAAAAAAAAAGAAAAAAGAAAAAGAAGTCTACAGAAAGAAACCCACCACAGTCTCACCCTGCTGACTCTGTAGACACAGAAGTCAGGACGAAGGGTCAGGGTGGATGAACTGTTAGTTTTTGCCTGCTTTTTTTCCTCCAATCATTGGTCTTTGGACTTTGGGCTGGCTATAAGATGAGACCAAAGACACCTGCTCCTCAGAGGTGGTCTTAGGGAAGAGTGCCCATCCAGCCATGTCTCAGGGGAGTTTCCAGCACTGATAGAGTCCATTACAAGTCTGTCAGGAGCTGGGTCAGAGGCTGAGGACTCAACTTGTCAGTGTTTCTTCATGAGGGTGGTGTTTCTCACTTAGAGGGTGGTGTTTCTCCATTAGGGAGTGGTGTTCATTTCCAAGGAAATCCTGATCTTAGGTCTAATGGCCTCTGCCAGAGTTGAAGAATCACAGAGGAATCGCAGAACCTCACAGTTGCAAAGAAATGTTAAGGCAGGTAATCTATAATATCATCTTTACAGATGAGCTCAGAGAGTTGACTTGACTGGTCTAAGGTCACATAGAGTGTATGGTCAGGAAATAGACCTGATCATTTATTCAGTGTTTTTTTAATAAACCAAACTGGCCATTCTCAAGGATCTGTTTTCTAGTTGAAACTGTCTATAATCATATTAGCTGGATTATGATGGATGTCAGTTGTCAATCTTCTGATAATTTCAGAGGACAGCATTCCAAGGCCCTGGTAATATTTCCAGAGTTTCATTCTCCCCGAATTTTACCTGCTCATCTTGAGAAACAGAGGGGGGTCAATTTACCCCTGAAATGCTATTCAGATATTGTGACTTTTAACTTTAGGACTCCAGGTTCATCTGTTTGACTGAACAAAGAGTTGTCAACCTTAAAATATAGTTAACTCCAAGGCCCTCCAGGATGGGGCAAAGGCTGAAGGATAGGAGGGTAAATATAGGTACTTCCTATTCATGAGGAAAGCAAAAGCCAGGAGAGCTGGTAAATGTTTTGTCTTGGCCTCCAAGCCCCTTGGACAAATTGTTCCCATTTATGTTCATCACTCAATGTAGACACACTCTTCTATTCTGTGAGGAGAGCATGTGAAGGTAGCACTAAGACAGCAAGAAGTGATACTATTTATTATTTCAAAGCTATCAACCGTTTTAAATGTATTTTCCTGCTGAGTCTCAAATCAGATAATTCTTCTCTTTTCTGGAAATGCCATCGATTGGTGCCTGGATGTTGGTATTACTCTTGTCTCCCTTAACTTTGTTCTAACAGTTCATTTTGCCTAAGGTAGCCTCAAGACCTGATACCTAATTACAGGTGGAGGAATTCCCAGGTTGGTCCTAGACCTGGAGAGATGGGCCAGCTATGTGGTGTGGCCAGCACTGGTGGGGAGAACTTTTCTGGGTTCTGCCTGCTTTCATATCACTCCAGAAAAGTAACTTTGCCTACTTTTAAAGCAGATTCTATAACCATATAGAGGAGGTGGACATAGTGGAAAATGGAGGTCACTTCAACTTGAGTAGAGTGAGCAGGGAAGGGGTGCACCATCCCCCCAAGTCTATGTGGCAGGCAAAGAGTCATGTCTCTCTGTGTCCTGGTGACAACTTCCCTTTTTGAGAAGCCTGGCACCATTAAAGATGCTATATCCAGACTCTGCTTCCTTAGCTAGTCTACTACCTTCTTGGCTTTAGAAAGAATATCATCTTTTCCTCTAAAGCTTCCTCTGGCCAATTCCATACTCGCAATCAAAGTGCCCTTCTCTTTCTCATCCTCTTGCCTCCCTTTTTCATTATTATCTGGGATGGGATGCACCTCCCCTCCCCTCGTCTCATCTCCATTGTCACCTTTTGCTGCCATTAGGTTTCTTTCAGACATATGTTTTTTGACCTGCCACTTTGAACACTCTTTGCCACAATTTGGGGGCTTCCTAAAGAATCACAGTCATTGGCTCAACTCAGGGTGGACCCACCCTCCCACCCAGCCTCATCTCCATCCTTCTCTTTGGTGTACAGATGCTCCAGTATCACAGACCTTCCTGCACCGCTCTCCCCTGCTGTTTTCCCCACATGGGAAACCCTGTGTGTCCATGCTCTGGCCATCCTCCAAGCCTCACACATTGCTTTTTGTTGAAAGCCTTTTCTCATTCTTCTAATCAGATAGGACTGCTTCCCTATTTCTCTTTGCAGAGCACTTTATTTACTGATCTTTCTCTGATGTACGCACCTTATGTTGCCTGGTATTATAATTATTTGGGTCCATTTCAAACCTTCTGCCTAAATTGTAATTCCCTCCAGCACACTGAGTACAATATCTGTTATAATTTGTGGACTTAAAAATATTGATCCAATTGACACTTGTATTTAGCGACCATCCCATGTCCTGTCTTAGGGGCACTCGTGCCCTAGGCTGGCACTGCAGTCTTGGGGCTGCTCCTTGTCCACCCTTGCAGGATTCTGCCCTCCTCCAGAGGCCATTTCATCACAAAACTGACCAGTAGTCACAATGCGATGCAAGGCTTCTCTGATATGTGTGTCCAGATTTTGTTCAGGCTGAAGCAGAGATTTCCAGCACACTCTGTAGCCCTCGTCACTACTTATGACCTAGGGATGTCCCATGGCACCCGAACTGAGGACTGCTGCTTTCAAGTCTGATGCCTCTATTTTGAAAAACTTTAATCAGTGAATTTTCAGAAATTCAAAATGTGTAAGCCCCAGAAGAAAGAATCCCTGATGATGGAATCTCACCTCTCTGTTAGGTATAGGTGGAAGGGAAACGTTTAGGCATGAGGATATATCTAGACTCCCTAAAAATCTAGACTACGTGAGTTATTCCTAGTTCTACCTACTCATATTAAGAAAGTAGCAACAGGTAAAAACATTAAAGTCATAAAGTCACAGGCATTCTGGCCTGTTTAAACCTGGAGTGCAGAGTGGATTGGAAAAACCAGGACCCACTTTGACCTGGTCAACCTAAGGCCATGTGATTGTATATTATTAAATCTTGTGTCTCTAAGACCGAAGTCATTTTTCCTTTGAGAAGAATACAATCCACTTAGAGGTGTTAAAAACAATCTCCCATTGTCTTTTCACCATTCTCTGGAGTAATGTTTGAATAATGGGTGAACCCTCAAAAAGAGTTGTTCTCATACATGCAGGAGTTTCAACTACTTGAGACTATGTTGCCTTGTTTAGCGTCCTTTCTAATCCACACTGAAATGGGGAATGAAGTGTTGGCAGGGTGGGGAGGGGTGGGGTAGCTCTGGGACCCCGGGGGTCTTGTGAGTGATCCGTTCCTGGATGTTTGCATTGTGTGGGGTCCAGTCATTCACTTGGTCACTTGCTCTGACTCGCTTTCCACATCCATTTCGGTATCTGCCACCATGGTGAAGATCAAAGAGAGGTCAGTGGGTCCAGAGAAAGAAAGCAGAGAGAGGAAGGGAGAAAGAGAAAGAAGAGAAAGAGAAAAATTAGCAAGCAAAGCAGAAGCAGTTCATGCAGGAAATACAGAAATCACTCGACCAGAATTGATTGAGGATGCGCAGTTTAGGCACAGCCAGTGTGAAGGACAGTTTGGGGTTGTGGAATTTGTACCATTCAAAGAATTTGCACAGTCATAAATGCCGGCTCAGGAGGATTATAACATTCTGCCACTGGAGCAAGCTTAGATTTATCTGGTCCCAACCCTCATTTAATAGGTGGCATTCAGAGTGGATCAGGGCTTGCCCAGAGTCACCGCAGCAAGGTAGTGGCAGGGCCAGGACAACCATCAGTACTTTCTACTTCCTGTTCTGGTACAGGTTTCCTCACAGCACACACACTTCCTGAATGTTCCCAACCCCTTCCCCCACAACGCCTATGGACTTGCAACTTCTGAGTCTCGTTCATCTTTGCATCTCTGCTAGGACCTGGCACGTTCCCGGGACAGAGAGATGTTCAATAAATACCGTCTCAGTGATCAAGCAGAGGTGTTGGGTGTGCCTAAATAGGGATCCTAGTAGTCCTAATCCAGCTCGTGCTGGGAGAACCAGGCCATTTAGGGGTGGAAAGTACTCCTCTTTTCTTTGGTACAGAATGACAGGCTCTTTTGTATACTTACAAAAGTCACATAAAAGAGTACCATCATATAGAGTAGTGCCTTATTCTATCAACAATTCTATTAAAAACTGTGTGTTTCATCAGGGAAGAAAAATACTATTAAAGTTCCCTACTCTCCAAAAACATGAATGAGAGAAACCAGACCACTTCTTAGTGAGGGAGTTGGGTGGGAGGTGGGGGAAGAAATAAGCTTTTATTAAGCTTTTACTTATTACTGGTGCTCTGCAGTAATGATATGTACATTAACATAGTCTTCGAAGTAATCAGGAATGTAGAAAACTGAGGCCAAGAGTCTGAGTAAATTGCTTAGGGACTTCCTCCTGATTGAGTCTGGATCTGAACCTAGAACTTTCTGACTCCAAAGACATTCTGTCCTCTACACCCCACACTTCCTTCACTTCCTCCTTCTGGACACCCCTTTGCTTGGGTAGAACTCAGCCACAGTGCTGCACATGAGCCACATGCTGGAGGAGGTGGCAGATGCGTCTGCTGGCATTTTAGTTCCTCCGTGTCTTAACCTTGTCTTTTCTATCTGATTTCCCTGTAGACCTCTGCACAGGCATCCAGTAAATGTTATATAAACTTTTGCTTGAAGCCATAAAATGTCTCCCCTCTTTTTCCCACACTGGGCTCTGACTCCAGCCACATCATCATATAAAAAGAGGAAAATTAAAAACAAGCGCACTCTGTTCCAAAGTTCTGCCTGGGATTTGTCTCAAGGGAGCCCCACCCAGATAGCGTCCCCTGGGAGTGGATCTGCCAGCCCAATGGATATGAGCCACTGAGGAGACAAGGGACAAGGACAACACTCCAACCTTTAGCTGAAGTCAGGAACTAAGGGTGGGCAGGACTCATCCTAATTCTTGACTTCTCACCTGTCCATTCTAAAGCAAATCTTCCTTCCCTTCCTCTCTCCCTTTCCTTTCCTTTCTGTCACTGTGCCTCTTCTTATTACTGTTGCCATAGATGAATTTCCTAAAACTGGTCCTTTCAAGTCTTGCATCAAAAATTACCTGAGTAGGGGGAGAGGAGATAGTGGCTAACCATTTGCATTTTTACAAAGCTCACTAGGTGATTTATATAGGCTACATTATGTTAAAACCACCAGGATATATTCTAGAGTATTAAAGCTAGTTCGAACTCTTTATTTTACAGTTAAGGAGAAGGCTTTTGTACATGGTCATAGGGTAGGTTAGGAACAGAAACAAGGAAAGAACTCTGGGTCCCAGGAGCCTTGCCAAACTGTGTCCCCTGCTTCATACATACATCCACTATGCTGACCCCACAGCCCTAAAGCATAAGCTGTCCCAGAAGACTTAGTGGCTGTGGCTGACAGCCACATAGAGACTGGCAAGGTCACTCAGCTCTGGGCACTGGGGACAAAATAGCTTCCTGAATTAGCTATTGCCAGAGCTAGTTTCAAACCTGGAGACATGCTATTCCTTTAGCAAGTTTGGCAACCTGTCTGCAGGCACAGGGAACATTAGTAATTAGAAAATAAACTGGGACTCACAAAAAGTTTCTTTTGGAATCCTAATGTCTTATTGCTGAAAGAAACATTAATAGCCTTTTTTTGTTCAACCCTCATGTATCTGTTGAATTCCTGGCCCCTTTCTCTTGAAGTGCACCTGCCAAGCTGTCCCCCTTGTATGGTCTCCACTCAAATCCCACCAGTGCTGGAGAGCTCATTGCCTTTCTAATCAACCAATTTTGTTTTCTTACTTTTACAGGTCGGAATCTTGTTACTCCATGTGCCATCCTTCAGACACTCAATCTGGAATGTGTCCATTTCCACATTATCCTAGGAAGAAACATGAAGAAGGTATGGGGAGAAGGAAGAGAGATGGGGCTGCTGGTGGTTTCCCAGTAAAACCAGCTCAAACTACAAACCTAGGTGTCCTAAACTGAGATTTTCCAACCATAAGCCTCCAAGGGCAAGCTTGATGGTAAGGAAATGATAGATGCTGAGTTTATATTTCTCAATTCTACCCTGGAGAGAGTCAAGGGCTGAGCATGAGAAGATATTCGGGCAGCTCTCTCTGAAGAGAAGCCTATACCCTTACTACTTTCTCAGAGCGGTGGCTCTCAAACCTGAGCAAACAGCAGCATCCCTGAGGGCTTTCGCATGGATTGCTGGGCCCTGCCCCAAAAGTTTGGGATTCATTGGATCTGGCCTGGGGACTAAGCCTTTGCATTTTTAACAAGTGAGGTGATGCTGCCATGAGGACCCCACTTTGAAGACAAGTCCTTGAGAGCAGTGGTCCTTTAGCTTGGCTCATGTCAGACTCACCTGGGCAACATAAGAGAAAAACCAGTCACTGGTGTCACCCCAGGGATTCTGCTTTCTTTGAGCTCAGGTGGGCCTGGGAGGTAGCTTTGTTTTCTAAACTAAGCAGCTGATTCCTAGGAGAACCACTGTTTCAGAGGTGGGGTGTGGTGAGCAGTACCTGTTGGCCACCTCTAAAAACTCTGCTTTCCACCCCCATTTCCCTCAGAGCTCTTTAAATTTGTTACGGTTGTTTGTCCTGATGGTAGGGCTGAGTAGATCTAGATTTTTTGAAATTCAAACCAGCCCACGCCCTGACAAAAGACTTCTGTGCCACTTCCAGAAATGAGAGCCTCAAACACATGCTTTGAATTTTCAGAAGACTGGAATTTCTGGAACATTTTGGAGGTTTATGGGGAAGCTAGAAAATACCATGGTAAGACCATTACAAGCTCTGGAAGCCCATGTGGTCTGGGGGCTCTGGAGAATTTCTCTGGCCTAGTGGCTCCCACTCCCCAGGCAGGATTCTGTACCTTCAGCACTTTGTAGCCTGTGTCACAGCTGATGAGCACCTGGTCTTTGAAGAAGTACTTGGCTTGCAAGGGCTCAATTTTCCCGTGGACAGGAGGCTGTAGCTCTGGGCATTCCTTCCCTGGTGGGGAGCAATGGCAGAGCAGTAGATGAGAAACAAGGACAAGTCTGGCAGCAAGAGGCCAGTCCCTAGACTACCAGGCATGATGGAGGTAGAAAAACCTCACACAAAACTGGGTGTTAGGGGCCTGGGCCTAATAGGCCATGAAGAAGTCTTACTAGAACCTTGAGCAAGTCACTTTTCAACTTGGACCTCTATTTCTTCATTTGTGAAATGAGGTAGTTGGCCAGAAGCTTTCATCAAAACTCAAGGTTGGATAGTGTATCCAATGTCATTGAGTCCAACCCTCTTCTGATGTCTTTTTAAAAATAACATCTTCCAAAGTAGATGTTAAACATCTATTTACATTCCTACAGTGACAGGGAGCTCAATACCTCCCGAACCTGTACCTTTTATACTGGATTCCTCTGGTTAAAGGAAGAGGAGTTTTATATCCAACTGAAATCTATACCCTTGTCTTTTTTATTCATCAGGCATAGTTTGCTCTCTTGAGGAGCTCAGGATGACTCCAATGGCTCTTTCTTCCCAAGACCGTTCCTCAGAGTGTTAAAATGTGATCATATGCCTTTGAGTCTTTTCTTCAAAAGGCTAAATCAGACAGGATTCCCTGGCCTGGGGTTATGCCTGACATTTTTTTCTGGACAAACTCTCTTTTGTTAATACTTTTCTCACTTTTCTCCCCAGAACTGGGCACTGAATTTGACAAGGCAGGCCAGGCCAGGACATTGGAGTTTATGAACTGAGTTAGGCATGCCCAGTTGTGGTCTTGTCACTGATGTCCCCCCTCTTCTTTTTCAAGTTATTGCATACTCCTTGGGTCAAATGTCTCTATCAGCATCTGGGCCAGGACTGGCTGCCTTGGGGTACGGCGGACTGTGGGCTTTGCCCATCTGGGGGAAACAAAGGAGGCGGACCGCCATAAGGGAACATTTTGAGCTGCAGGCCCACACCCACATTCCTGCCTCAGGCTTGCAAAGTGCCAGAGCTGGAAGGGTCCATTCCAGGCCCAATGAGTTACAGTGTGAGCTGGTGCAATTCAAAAACAAAATTTTGTTTTCTTAGTCCCTATGTGATTCTGAAAAACAGCCAGCCCGAATGCATCATCATTGCTCCCCTTAACTCCATTTTATTGATGAGGAACTGAGTGTAAGAGAGCATGTGCCTTGGTGTACTTGGTGGCAGAACTGGGAGTCCTGTCACAACCTCAGAGGAACCCCAGGCCCCCACCCCCCATTTCTCAGCCACAGCTCCATGAGGGCTGAGCCTGCTGACAAAGTTACCTGTTGCCTTGTACGAGAGCTTCCAGCCCCGGTTCTCGCCTGAGTTGTCACTGCGGAACAGGATTAGGACGTTGTGGGTCTGGGTATTGATGGGTTCTGGGGCTTTTTCTCCACAGAAGGGTCCCAAAACTTTTGGGCCAGCTTTAATCTGCAAGGGGCAAGACAGAGGAAAAAAGAGGTCACAAAAGAGCAGCAGTGGCTGCTGCGGGGACCCCTCTACACTACACCCGGGGTTTTCTGGAAGCTTTCATGTGAGCCCTAGTACATACTCATTTGTGTTTCTAGTGGGGATTGCTACTCACCAGATCATTCCACCTCCACTTCCCCACTTACAGTTTACAATGGCTCTGACAGTGCCCAAGGCAGGCTGATGATCCTCTGCTCAAAGATGGACATATTATGACTTAGAATGGGGCAGAGGCTTGTCCAGGTGCACAGGATAGATAGAAAAAGTCTCTGCTCTCAAAGAGCTTGCAGTCTAGTTGGGGGAGTCTAACAAGAAATATACACTATACATTTATAATTGATGAAGTAAAATCTGTGTCACTTATCAATTCATCGTTAGTATGATAGATAATAACTTTAAATAGGTGGCCAGGGAAGGCCTCCTCCAGGAGGTGACTCTGGATTTGAGACCTGTAGGATGAGTAAGAGCTTGTCATTGGAAGATGAGGAGAGGATATTTTCCAGGCAGAGAAAAAAGCATACGTGAAGGTCAAGGCCAAAGGAGAGAAAGATCTTGGAAAGTGTTAAGAACAGGAAGGAAGCCAGTGTGGCTGCAATAGAGGGAGTGCTGGTGCATGCATGAGGTTAAAGGCAGGCAAGCGCCACAACGTGTTGAGGAATTTATGTTTACTTCCAAGCGCAACCTTGATCTAATCTGACTTTTATAAAGATAAGCCTTGGTGCTATGGGAGAACAGAAGAAAACCAGCTAGGATGCTTTGCAGTTGACCAGGAGACAATGGGGTTTAGAGTAGGAGAGAGACAGTGGGATAGAGGAAAGGAAATAGGCACTATTAGCTCATGCAGATTTCCCAACTCCGAGTCCTGGGTCCTTCCTATGTCTTTAACTTTTTTTCTTCTATCTCTGTGATGGGAACTCTTGAACCCTCATTCAGTGACTTCTACAATGGGTTATATCTTCATTTTGTCACCCTTATTGTAGAGAGAAGGAAAAGGAAAGCCCTAAGAGTTTAAGTACCTGGATAAGATTCACTGCAGGGCCCCTGGAAAATGTGTGGTGGGCAGAATTCTGAGGTGGTCCCCATGACCTTTACCCCTGGTGTTAGTTCATGATGATATTATGTTACATGACAAAAAGGATTTTGCAGGTGGCAAAGTAGCTAGTTTTGGATTAGGAAAGATCCATAGACTAGATCTGATTAAGCTGGTAGATGTTATTTTAAATAATAACTCTTTGGGAAGTAAGATTCTTGGCCGCTTATCCTGGAAGAAGGTAGAGGACAAGAATATCAATTTTCCCAATTCAGTAAGATTTTCCAGCAGTCCCAGGGACCAAGGTCCATTGCAGGCTTACCTTGATGTAGTCATAGGGGCAAGGCACCTCTGGATGGTCCTCAATGTCAAAAATGTCCTCAAACTGTATGTTGATCATGAAACCTTCCTCCAGTCCAATCACATAGAGGCATTCGGAGCTCTTAGGGTAAGGGTTGGGGAAGTCAGGGCTGGTGATGACTCCAGTTCTCTGGGTAAAGAGGTTGTCACTGCACTCCACTGTGGGAAACACACCCGAGCAAAGTGACACAACATACCATGGCCAAAGACACTCCTTTCTTATCTGTTACTGCACGGTTTCCCAGTGGCCCCAAGAGGTAAGCAGAAAAAGGAATCATTATCCCCATTTCACTGATGGAGAAACTGGAGTTCAGTGAAGTCACATATCTAGTGATTTGCGGAGACAAGACTCAAACGTAGCGAGTGTGATAAGCTTTCCCATCAGATTTTCTGACATTGGGGTGGGGGGCACCTAAGATGGGAAGGTCTTGAGGCGGAGTTTTTGTGGGGAGGATGTCTGGACTGCTTTGTTCTGCTCTCCCCTCAGCTCCGAACTCCATTAGGTTTCTGCTCAAAGGCTGCCTTGATCCCTTACACACACTCTCACTCTCCGGCCCCTGGCCCTGCTTTGTTTCCCTTCATGCTGTTGACCACTACTTGCCATAATGTGATGTATTTATTTGTGGCTTCTCTTGCTCTCACTAGACAGTAGGGCCCCTGAGCTCAAGGATTCTGCTTTGTCACCACTGCATTTGTTTCACCAGAGACCCAGGGTCCTGGGATCCTGGCCATGGCTTAGCTCTGCTGAGGTTTATTTGTTTGTTTGTTTATTTTAATCCTACCTGAGCATATATTTATTGATTTGAGTGAGGGGGTGAGGGAGGAGGGAGAGACATAACTGACAGAGAAACATTGATCAGTTGCCTCCTCTTTGTGCCTTAACTGGGGATTGAAACTGCAACCTTGGTATGTGTCCTGACTGGGAATCAAACTTGCATCATTTTGGGGTATGTGGCGACACTCCAACCAATTGAGCCACCCAGCCAAGGCATCTACCGAAGTCCTTTTATTTGCTACTGAACCTTTGTCCTTGGGCTGACCCACACTACATCTAATATGTAAATCTTTTCTAAGCACTTATTCATTCTGCTCATTTGCAAAAGAGTAAAATAAGGACCAGAAAAGGGGGTATGACTAAAGAGAGCTTGAAGTTCCACCACTCTGAGCTGTAGAACAAGGTTTGGATTGAGGTTACCTGAATTCCCATCTGTTTTTATTTTCTACTGCAGGCATTCTCATGGCAATGATATTGCCCCAAAGATGGTTAAAGTTGGTTCTTGGTTGGGGGGGAGTCTTACTCTTCTTATGAATGTACATAGATATGTATATAGTATACATACAGTATATCTGTGGTATTGAAATTTCATGGGTAAGGGCAGATATTAGGAGGATTAGGAAGGCAATGTTTTATAAAGCTCCTGGAGACACAGGTAAAAATAAGAAAAGAGATCAAGAAATCTTGCTCATTCTTAGCCTCCACTGTACTCAGCATATAATAGATACTCAATAAAGAAGTACTGACTAGAAACCATAGAAAATATAACTTTCTAGAAGATAACGCTTCAATGCACTTTCTCTCTACTGATGAGTCATATCAGAGTTTTATTCAGAAGAAAGTAGAAGCTTCTGAAGGAGAAAGGAAAAGAATTCTTGTCTCCAGTCTTGTCTTCTCTAGTGACCCCTCACTCCTCTTCCAAGGGATTTTTCCAAAACGCAGATCCTTATCCTGCACTTACACTAATCTACTGGTAGTTCTCCAAACATTCCAAATTCTGTCAGGCCTTGGAAGGTTTGTGGAAACTGTTCTCCCTGCTTGAAATCTTCTCCTTTTACCTCTTCTTTCATGTCTGTCAGGGTCACCATTTCTGGGAAGTGTTTGCCCACTCCCTAGACAGACTCAGATCTGATTGTGCTCTGGCCACACTTCTTGTACAGCATTTACTACTTTTCACTATTTGCTTGTGTTACCCACTAGCCAGGATGGCCCTCCTGGAAATTAGCTGAACCCTTTTTTGTGTCCACCTCTGCCCAGGCAGAGAATGTGGCAGAATGGGCATGCTGATGAACAATGCAAACAGATAGCAAGAATGAGATGTTTTTTTTGCTGTCTCCATCTTTGCCTCTCTTCTCCCTCTTCTTTCCTTTGGATCAAGGTTCTCTTTGCCACCGAGGCACTTAGGGGCCACGGAAGAAAAGAGGAAAAACACTTCTGGGTGAGACCTAGTTCGTGGCTCAGACTGAGGGGGCTGGGAAACATGTTCTCCTTAAATTTTCCTGACTAATGACCTGCAGTAGGAGAGGAGATAGGGAGAAAAGGGCAGAGATTCCTGCTGCCAGGGATAAAGATGGCCTAGCCACTAGGGCTGCTGGGCATTTCAGCAGCATCTTCCATGTGGTACCTGGAGGCACAGCTCTTTGACTTCATTTTTAATTGTTCCTACTGCATATCTGTCCTTCCTCCAGGCCTCCCTCATCTGATTGGAAAATGAAGCACATAATGGTGATGAGTAGGATCATCCCTAGGCCCCACCTCGGCACGTCCTGTTGTCCGTGTGGAGGATGTAACCAAAGCGGCAGGAGCAGTAGTAGCCTCCGATGTAGTTATGGCAATAGTGGTCGCAGGACAGCTCCTCGTCCTCACGCTCAGTGCACTCGTCCACATCTGTGGGGCAGGCAGAGCCTTTCAGTCAATCCATCCGTGTGGGATGAGGAAGACAGCAGCCAACATACACAAAGCACTTTGCATGGACTATTCATTATGCTGGGAGATACATGCATTTTTGTCATTTAATCCTCACATGAAGCCCAGAAGTAGCCATTATCACTGTTCACTGAAGAAACTGGAACTCAGAGAAGTGAGAAAGTTACCCAAGATTACAGACAGCCATGTTCAAACCCAAGCAACCTGACTCCTGGTGGTACTACTATCCTCTAAGAATTGTGATAATAGTAAACAGGGCTGTTGTTATGCCCATTCAATAGATAATAAAACTAAGACTTAGAGGCATTAAATAACTGACTCCAAGTCACACAGATAAGAGTGGTAGAGAGGGCATTCAAATCCAGATGGGCTGGCTCCAGAGTGTGGGTTCTTCTATTCCATGCTGCCTCTCTCTTTCTATGTTACTTATAGGGTCAAGTCCTGTCCTAAGCATTGGAAATACAAAGATAAAAAGGATGTATGTTCTCAATCCAATTTAAAAATTTGAACATACATTTCCTCCAAAACGATATATAAATGGCCAAGAAGCACATGAAAAGATGCTCCATGTCACTAGTTATCAGATGGGTAGATACATGACAGAGCAAATACAGTAAGACATTCATGGTAGAATCCGTGTGCTGAGTGTACACATGTTCATGAAAAGAAGAGAACACAATGTGCTTTTAATCTTTAATGAGAAAGAGAGACTTGGAGATGAGCACTGACTTCTCACTTACCCACAGCCACATAGTGGGCAACAAAGCCCGTGAATCGCTCCTCATCAGAGAAATCTGACTGGAAAGTGACAGACATGAAGGAACCAGGGGAGAGAACCACTTCTTGACCAGGGGTATGCTCAGTGTCTGTGTTTTCGCTGCCACAGAAGATTGCCAGCATCTGGTCTTCAGTTTCTACCTTTGAGGTCAAAAAGAAAGGGAACAAGATGAATAGCTTCCCAGATTAGCTTCTCTGCTGGTCTCCAGTAGTAAAGAGGGAGGGGCTGCCCATGAGTAGACTGGGCAGCCTGAGAAACCCAAAGAGTGGGGATTAGGGACTCTGGGATTTAAGGAAAGACACATTGCAAGTTAAGTCAAAGTGGCCATCCAATCACTGTTTCATTCATTTAGTTTAGGTCTGTAAGAAGTAGCTTGACCTTTGTCATTCTTATTGAGAACTAAATGGCTACATCATTCCCGTGGACAACGAAATGGCTTATTTGTTGAAAATAACTCAACGTTAAAATTCAAAAGAGTTAGATAACCTCATAGATGGATTCAATATGCAACAGAAACTTATCACATTTCCAAAGAAAAGAAACTTTATATACAATAGGTCATTCATTGAGCATTCAGAGTGTGTCTGACACTGGACAAAGCGGGTGATGGGGATAATAAAATGAGATATAGAGCTGTGCATGGGGACACAGGGTTCAGACTGATGAAAACACATGTAGGGCTATTTTACAGTGTGACAGGTGGCTTTAATGGAAAACAAGCCCTGGGAGTGCACTCGGAAAGAGGTGAAATATCCCCATTAGGGTGTAAGCTGCAGGACAACAAGACTTTTTCTCTACAGATGTGTCTTCAGTAAATGGAACAGGACCTGGCACATAGCAGTTATTTGCTGTCAAGAACCCAAAGTACAAGACCTATTTTTGAAAACAGTGACAAGCCAGGTAGTCTGTGGAGACTGTAGGAGCTGCACTTACAAGGATAAGCTGCAGTTAGATTATGGTTGACCTTGAATGCCATAATAATAAGTAACTCTTCATTCTGTGAGTAAAGGGAAGACGTCGAAAACTTTTGAACAGGAAAGTCATGTCATCAGAACTACATTTAGTGGGTAGTTTTAATAATACCAAAACTACTGGAATCATTCAAAAATAGTGTATTTTTGTCTGTGTTTGTGGTAAGACTCAGGTGCAAAAATTGCCCATTTGCTGAAAGAGTTCACTACATTGGAAGAGCCAGTTGGAGGCTTTGCGTAGATTCAGAGACCCAAGCAGAGATCTTAAACCAGTTGTCTAAGCTGATTGTGTGTATTGGTTTGGGAAGCACAGTACAGCAGCTGGTTTGTATTATTTATTTGACCATGAATACTTGGCTTACCCATGACTCTATCATTTACACCTATTCTTTTAAGCTTGTATTTGTGTTTGCAACTTCTAGGCTGAAGTTTTAGCCAAGAGACGTAAGAAAATTTCTCACCAAGAATGATTTCTGCTGCCTTCCAAAGTCATTAAAAAGCATTGGAAATACAAAGGATTGCTCTGAGGCAAAGTTCTCAGAGGCTGCCTATCCCTAGTAGATTCTAATAAATTCATTGTTTCATTCTTTAGTTTAGTATGCCTGAGTATCTTGACATTTGACACTTCTGTTTTGAAACTAATGATTTATTTATTTAAAATAAGTAGAAGTTTTAAAGAAAAACAATTTGCCCTGGCAACAAAACACAAGGATAATTAATCACTAACTTTGAGAATTGAAGTGTAAACAGAAGATGAGATCATGGTTTTACTATTTATTTCTTTTCTCTGCAGATACTAGCAAAACTCGCACCAGACTTATTACTGTAAAATGTGCCTATCTGCACACAGCTGAAATGTCACTTCCTTGAACATCACAGCTGTTTTTTTTTAATTTTTGTTATCTGAGTTTTCCAGACAGCTAAAGTTTTACTTAACAATAATTAAAAATTTTTTAAAACATTTTTTGCTGTAATGCTTTTTAAAGTGCTTTATACAAGTCTTTGCTTTCTTAAATGAAATATACTAAGCCTTTCTTGTGGATCCAGGGACACTGTTATGAACATCAACCACCTTGGGGATATTGTGTTGTGTAATGTTGCTTGCCCTACATTGAACATCCCCAGACTATAATGCCTTTACTAGTCTTATATCTTTTTTATGTGCTGTTTTATTTCCTGTATCTTTATGAGTTTATTAGATGAAATATGCTGTGAAACAGAAAATAGTTAAACTGTTCTTCTTAGAACTTAATAAAAATAAGACTAAATAGGTTTAGACTGCAGGCCTGGGAAAGGGCTTCTGCTATGAGAGACTGCATGAGCTGGAGCGCAATGTCACGGTGGTGGCCACTGCTTTGAAGTAATGGAAGGTGTGGTTGGAGGTCCTGAGACCTATTCCTGATCTACAATTAACTAGTGTATGGCCATCTCCTCTTTAGTTCTCAGTTATCTACCTAATAAAATAGGGGTTTGAAAGAGTTGAGCTCTGTGTTCTCTTCTAATTCTGACATGCTGGTATTCTAACAAGTCATTATATCCATACATACAGCTCCATATATGCATACTAGAAGACAGTGAGCAGGAGTTTCAACACATAAATTGTTTCCTGCTAAAGAATCTGATGAACGTGATCTTGCTTGTGGTCTATAATTGTATAATACAAAATCAATTACTAATGAATTTGACACTCTGAATGCTAATGCTTCCAGACGCGGCAGCCTCGTTTCTGTAATTCGGGATCCCCGACGTCTTTGGGTTCTATAATGCCTCTAACATGGACACTTTCAAGCAAAACCTATCAGAGATAATTTGGATTAGGGAAAGACCTTGTATCTTCCAGTTTTAGGGGCCTTTTCAAGAGGGCAGATAAACTGCCATGGCCTGCAGGGCAACACTATTTTAGACAACAGGGAAGTGTGGCCCAGCTGAGACCCGTGGGAAAATCTGAGCTATGTGCGCCTTCAGAAGAAGGAAAGAGAAGGCCCTGGGGCTCTGTGAATTCAGCCTGCAGCTCATAACAGAGTCCTGGAATATCAGACCTGGGAGAGCAATATAAGAGTTATTTCATATGCCCTCCTAGAGGAAACCAAGGTCTATAGAGGGGAAGTGGGGAAGTGACTTGCTTAAGAGTAGAGAGATTATCACAAGCATTTTCTGATATCAGTTTTGCTTTTGGAACTGTTCTGACCCTGAAGAAAGAAACTCACCAACCCAGAGCATTCATGACAAAAGACATAAACACTTTGACAAACAACTTCTCTGGCTCAAGGGCTCCTTGAAATCTTATCTTGGGTACATGAATCATCTCCCAGAGAGGATGTGGTCAGTGACAGTTCCAGCCGTAACCTAAATGGAGGGGTGGGAGGGGAAGACATGTCTCTGGCCTGGTTAGTGTTTGCAGCTGCTGCTATGAATTGTAAAATTTTATAAAAATCATTTACCTCTGAATACAGGCAGAAGATTGAGCCCTGGCTTCTGTTTGGATTGTTCCATTTCTAGGGTCATCATGTTAACATGATAGAGGGAAATACCTTATCACATGAAGACGCAAAATTAATAATAATAGAGAATCAAGAACCATCTGGTAAGCGATCATAGACCCTTCATTTTTCTATATCTTATTATGGGCAACTGTGTCCTTTTAGATATTGTTATTTAGGGCACTGACACATGGATGCATGTCCTCAGCTTGCTTTCTTTCAACTTAATTCAACAATTATTTATACACCAAGTTCTGTCTGGACGGTAATGTGGAGAAGGTTCAAATATACTGATTTGTTCCATGAGCTTAATATGCAAGTCCTCTGCTTCTGAGAATGTGAAATTTAGTAGGAGAATAAGATAAGTACTCAGATGTATGTGTGTTGGGGCATTATCAGGGTACAGTTATTACAATGAAATATAGGAAGACCCAGGGGTTTAAAAAAGGGGAAAAAAATAGAATCCAGCTGAAGGGAATCTGAAAACATTTAGGAAAAAGAAAATGTTCTTTGAGCTGGGGACTGAAAAGCGAGTGAGAGTTAGGCCAGTAGAAATAGTAGGTGGGGAGTTGAGGGATCGTAGGGAGAGTATCCATGTAGAAGGGATCGATGGTTTGTACATATCCAGAATCTTAACCACCCCTCCCTTCCTACCCCTGCCTGATGTAGGAAAGGAGTTACCATTGAAGACAGAAAGCTGGAAAAGAGAGATCTAAGGAGGAGAAGCCCAAGTCTGTTTTCTATGAATTTTCTACTTCAGTAGAAATAGCACAAAACTCCTACAAAAGTGAGGCAGGAGAGCAGAAAAGTTGGCCAAATTTCTGTTGTGGGGACAGCTACAGCTGCTCTCCATATGTCCATGAAGTTACCAGAATTTAACAAATACATTGAGAGCTACCCATTAGTTCCTTGCAGCAATGTATAAAGAAAGTAGCTTAGGAGTGATCATTCTCATTTTTTAAATGAGAAATCTGAAGCCCAGATGACTCTTAAATGAATTAGACAAGGTCATTATTTAGTGAGTGAAGGTTCCTGATCCAATTGCAGCATCCTGATTCAACAGCCAATGACATTCATGCTCCTTTAAGGCATGAGGCCAACCCACAAAGGCTGCCCTACAGACCTAAGGGCTCAAGGCTTTGTTTGTTATTGTTCAAAAGCTGCATGCTGGAGCCCCTCTGATATATTCCCTGGGCCCCTGAAGAGCTTTTCAGAGTTAATTTAGGCACACATTCAGAGAGTGTGCTGGATTGTCCTGTTGTCTGTTAATTAATCTGGGAACTACATTCCCCAGAGCCTCCTTCACTGTATAGTTCCAGGGTAGTGTTGCCTAAAAGAGGAACTTGTGTGAGTTTAGAACACAACAGTTTTTTGTTACTCTCTGAAGATTCTTACATGATCAGAAAACAGAAATGAACAGATGTACATGTACCAAATAGGTTACAACTTGTCCTCACTCTCTTAATCTGAATCCAGCTCTTCTGTTCAACTACTGTCTCTGATGATCAACAGTGGCCCAGACCTGCCACCAGATGCTTGCGGGTAGACCACAGCGGTCGCAGCTGCTCAGAGCCAAAAGCTTCTCATAGACCTCTCCCCATTGCTCCATTTTCATAGTCCCACTTTGGTTACCTAGATGGGCTTAATTCTTGGGTTCCTCTGCAGACACCATCATTCCCACCCATTCCA